CATTTGCTGCCTTCGTGCTTAAATAAGGGCCACGTGTTTGACACGTTTTTTCACAGACTGAATGACCTCACTAATTGAACTTCACACCGCTATTATATTGAACATGCCCCTTTCAATTAGTGATTCAATTACACAGAATCAGCAGCATGCATGTCATGTCTGTTGGGTCTGTTGGTTTTCTATTACTCTGCTACACCTACTAGTAAATTATTTTCCATGTAGAAATATAATTTTAACCAAAAACAGTGATTGATCAGGTTAGTGATATTGGACTGCTAATACTTTGAACACAAGCTGTATTATATAAATAATAAAACGTGTGGAATCAAGAGTCCCTAACTTTTACAAATAATGAAATCCCATTCCCAATAAGTAGGACTGGCCGCTATACCCAATAAGCATTTACAAATGATTTATGTAAGACATAGTTGATAACCAGGGAATCACCTATTTCTTACATCATAGAAGGTCTACAATATTTATTTTACCATTATCTGTTCTACAAACTGTCCATCAGATGATCTAGGTGTAGTTTCCAGTTGTCAGGTGCTTGTTAAACTGGTTAAAATATATATATATTATTTTAGAAATTCACAAATATAGTAATATGCATAAGCCATTTTTTTATATGATTTAAGAAATAAGTAATTTACTTTGTTTTGTGTGTTACAGTATTATTATAGTTTCTTCTAGCAAACTGTTGCCTAAAAAACACACTGGGTACAATTTTCATACAGAGTACAGTATACTTTTAATGTCTCCCAGTCTAGCAGATTCTAATCCAGGAGGTCTGGTGGTCATTGAAAACCAATGAGTTGCTTGTTGTTTTCCTTAATCCACTGGTGCAAGCAAGCTACTGTATACCTTGAGTGATAATCACTGATGACGTATAGTTTTCTTTTATAAAAAAATATACATTTTGTACCCAGTCAGCTGAATTGGATGGAATACAGGGTAAAAGGATGAACCAAACAATATAAGGATTAGGAGTGCATGGTGTGTGCACTGTCAACTAATTATATTTTTAGATATACTTAATCTGACCCCTTCCCCCACACTTGCTGTCATCATGCATTTTTTGCATTTCCTAAACCTGGGCCTGCTGCTGAAAATATAATACTATAGAAAATAACATGTAAAGTGAGATAATACCGGAAAAGACCCTAATAAAAGGGTTGACCTGAAACTGATACATAGCTACTCTAACATTTTTTATACAATAACATGTTTGTAACATTATGCACCCATCTCTGATAGACTGGAGGCCTTACAGCTTTTGCTATAAAGTGTCTCAATGATTGGAGAGATTTTAATTACAAGAAAAAGCAGGGTTGATGTCAGCTACATTTACCCAGCAACGAGGGAGGGTGGTTTACTAATTCTCAACTAACACAACATGGACTCCCACTCTCTTTGAGTACTGGTTATACACTGCATGTCAAAATGTTTTTGCACACATGATCATCACACCTACCACTGTATATGTTCATAGGTATGTGGACAACCCTCCAAATTATTGAATTCCTTTGTTTCCAGTGATGGGTACTGTTAATGCTGCTGCACACATAGGCATTTGCCAGTTTTGCTTCCACCAACCTTATGCCAATAGTTTGGGAAAGGCCCTTTTTGGTTCAAGCATGATTGTGCCTTATGCTCAAATCCAAGTCACTAACAACATGGCTAGATGAGTTTTGTGTGAAGGAACTTGAATGGTCTGTCCTGACCTCAATCCTAGTAAATACCTTTGCCATGAATTGGAATGCCTACTGCAAGATGGGTTTTCTCATCACAGAAACATGGAAAGCCTTCCCACAAGAGTTCGAGTTGTCATAAGCATAAAGGTGTGTGTATCTGTGGGGGATGTAAGTTGGATAACTCCATAATAACGTCCATGGGATGTTAAAAAAGCTCATATAGATGCGATGGTCAGGTGTCCACAAATGTTTGCCCATATGCTGTAGCTGCAACTGATATGACTTCTGTTCCAAAGCTGCTGAAGACACAGTGCACACCTAACGGAAGCAGCAATGGGAAAGGATGATATACTGAATTTATACAATTGACCAGAACTTGAAGCAAAACTCCTAACCACCTTGCTATGTCTACACTAAAGTAAATCCTATTTTTCTTTACTGTGCAAATGTAACATCTTTATTTTTAACACCCTTATAATGTAAGAATTTGAATCTAATTTAAAGACTATACCAAGGAAAGAGAATTAATAACATAACACTAAACTAACTAAATATAGTTAAAAACAAATATACAGATGTAGGGACCCTCTATTGTCTGAATTTGTAAATGCCTGTAAATATATATAAGCCCTTGTTGCCCCTTAGTCATTGGCAAACCCTGGAAAGAGAAAGTGGAGAGAAAGTCTCAGTCCCATGTTCTTTCCATGTTCAAAGCCAGAAGGAACTATTATACACTACTAGGGAGGGACTAATGTGCTGAGTAGATAGGCTGACTTTGAGTTCCACTGCTACACCACAGATCCTGCCAGTTAGAAGTTTAATTTCAAGCTTGTCGGACAACAGCTGGGGGAGACCCCTGTGACTGCTGATCTTTTCTTCAGATTTCTGACACAAGACAGACACCACATCATGCTCAGGAGCTCCTGCTAAAGGACATGCTGCAATTTTCATCTGCTTCTCTATTAATCACTGTACAGAGTATGCCCAGGTATATTTACACAATTGCAGCAGGAATGCTCATCGCAGTGCTGTGTTGATAAAACCTGTTTATATATTGGATGTATGTACTGTTATTAATCTCTTCTTATATAAAGCTTGTAATATTTCTATAATGGTGTGCATCTACAGTATGTACTTGGTTAATGTTATTTGCTGGTTCTCCCAAATACTTTGATTAGATCCTGGGTGGAGGCACTGCCAACTGTTTTATCACATCCACTTATAGAAGGTTCTGGTTCTCCTATTTACTTACATGTTTTGTGCAATATCCTGTTTGGGAGGATTATTTCTCATTACCCCTCCTTCAAAAGAGGGCTACGCAGATTTAAAAACTGGAAACGCAATGTATATGTACATTTATATTAGAAAAAAATCTGGGCAGCACAAGTGCTTTAAAACATCTAAATACATTGGTAGAATTTTCACCTTTTCATAGCAAAAGTGATGTTTAGCACTGTTTTACATGACGTAGATCGGCAAGCATTGATTCGAAGAGAAGCAGACAGAATAGACAATGACCCATTGTGCTGAAATTTCTGCAACATTTTACATTCTGCCATATTATATACACATTTAAAACATCATCAAATAAGGCTCTGTACACAAATGAAAAGGTAATAAAGGCTTAGTCTGCAGTTACACAAACTTGTTACCAGCTTTCAAAAGAGGCAGCTACGCATTTCACTCATTGCTTTTGTGTAATCGTTTTCATTTTAACTAACCAGCCATAAAATGTGCCTAGGTTGCACATTATTATTACAATTATTATTATGTACGCTCATCATAATGGGGGGTGCAGTGTCTTTAATCACATAATATATTTGGAAGCACCTTTTCACTGCAACTGCTACCCAAAATGAAGAAGCACCTATTGCATAGAAGCAATTGATGGTATATTTTCAATGACCTTGAAAGCTGTATAACAGGCTGAAGTAACATGATACATCCAAGATACATTTTTATTAATTGTTTTAATCTAGCAAAAAAGTTTACTTTGTGTGTGGCTGTTTTCCTAGAATTATCGAGTATTAGATTTCTGGTCACCTGACAATTTCTGTGGTTTCTTCTGCCAGGCCCCAGCATCAATACTGTGTCTTGCACTGATGTAGGGGCAAGCTAATGAAACTACAGCGCTAGGTGGGAGACCAGAGATATGACACTCTTGAAATGAAAATCATTTGCTTTTAAAGAGGAGCAGGACAAGTAAGTATACATTACCTCTTCTTTACAATGCAACCTCTGTCTGTCATATTTAATTTTGTGACAGGGTCACTTAAAAAAAAAATCTTTTATTTCAGGTGGATCACCACCCCACATCCTATTTGTAGACTGATGCAGACAGGCAATGAAAAGCAAACTAGATTTTCACAACTGTCTTTGACTTTTCTATATCAGCTTTTGAAAGTTAAACAATAGAAGGATGATTTGATAAATATGTGCTACAAAGCATGTAAGAGATTCAGATGACATCTGTACAGTTTGAAAACCAAATATGCTGAATACCAAAAACTGTCATGTTATTGAAATTACCCAGCAATAGCCGTCAAAGAAAGAAATACAGATATTCAAAAGATAATAACAAGGTATTCTTGATGTTTCTGACACAGTCAGCAGAATAAATTAAGACAATTTTAGAAAAATTGCAACAAACTCCTAAAATGAAATGTTTGTAAGGTATATGCTGTGGATATTTGATTTGGAGAAAGTCCAGTAAACAAAGCAGAGAAATACAGTAAGAAGGACATCTCATACAAAGGACGTAGCTGGAAGTATAAAATGATTTGTCTATATATTGCAAGAGTAAAATATAAAAAAAAAGTCCTCATCTCAAAGTTTAGACAACGTAAATTTGAATCCATATCACAATTATGGAATATGTGAAGAATTATCATGCTAGGGACCAAGACTGGAAACAGTTTCATTATGAAACTTCTGACCATTCAGATATTATTTTGATGACTCGGTGAGGCAGTGAAGTATCATTCTTGTCTATCACAGACAGGGATTTTACAGTTTGCTGAAGTGCTACAAGTTAATTTAGGAATAAGGAAATTCATGAAAAATAAAATAAAAGTAGGAAATAGAGCTTATTGGCCAGGACAAAGAAGAACTAAAAGTATACAAGGAGCATGAATATATCCTTCCCTTTCTTTGCCAGAAATTTTTGCCTCTCGATACGGTGCAATATATAGAGATTAGTATATCGAGAAGCATGCTGTTGGCAACTCCAGCAAGGAAAGGGTAGACTCTCCATAGATGATCCAGTGGGACAGTTGTTAGGTAGGGTCTGTGGAATGGGACAGCTTATCAACCAGGTCCTTTCATGTTCTTTGGCTGATACTCTTGTACTGACATCATGCTGTAGCAATCCGATGGGTTGCATCGTCCATCTTTGCCTGTGTTACCTTTAGGTCCAGGGGGTCCTGGTATGCCTGGAATGCCTTGTTGTCCTGTTGAACCTGTTGGTCCTAATTTACCATATCCAGGTGGTCCTTGTGGTCCTGAGACAAGAATAAGCGTGATTCAAAAACTCAAATTAATTTTCCAATTGCCTGTCTTATGCAAAACATTAAATAATATTACCTGGTGCTCCAGGTGGACCCACATCACCCATGGTACCAATTCCATTGTTTCCCTTTTCTCCCTTTGTTCCAGGTTCACCTGGGTGTAAAAGAATAAATCATAAAAGACTGAGGACCATATGAAATGTTCACCCAAAACTGAAATTTCAGATATAAATGACTGTTGACAAGACATTGAATGGTTGTTTCTATCTCTTCCATGGTCTGTTTAATTTCATAGTCGTTCACAGTCATTTAAAGTAATTAAAAACCCATATTATGTCTAAGCAAGGGAATTTGACCTTGTGAGCAGGAGTGGAGATAAAAATTATAATAGAACAATCACTCCACTAAAGTTTTCAAGACATTTAAAAAAATATGGCAGATGATTCAACCAATTACCAAAAAAAACTGAATTATCAGTTTTGGCTGGGCTTGGTTTGGCTTCAGTTGAAAAACTGATGTTTGACCTTCTCCCTGTGAAATATATATTGATTTTACCTCTCATTCCAGGTACTCCTGGTCTTCCTTCTCTTCCAATCTGCCCAGGAGAACCTGGTGCACCTGGATTTCCTGGACGTCCTGGAGTTCCTTCCTTACCAGGTGGACCTGGCCTTCCAGGTGCGGCAACCATCTCTACTGGCATCTGCATGCGTGTGGTATAATATGCCATTCTCTCTGCAAAATTAGTAAGGGGATGAAAATTAGCATATAAAAAAAGATTGCCCTTCATTATCTTTAATTATCTGTATTATATTTTAAGCATCAATAGATTATTACAGTAAGACAGTCTCTCAGCTCTGCAATCATACCATCAAAGATCTTGATAACTTCTGCCGAACCATCCTCCTAATTTCATCATAATTGATGGGATCCGCCTAGTATTTAGAGAACAAGGTTTAGTAGTTTAATACTAACGGGCACTTATAAAATTATCTAAGTAGCTGCCTATCATTTTGAAAGGCCAAAAGTGAGGTGCAGATGGTGTGATTGGCCACATTGGCTATATTAAAGCAACCCAGGTAACAGGACACTTGAAGCTATTAGTATGAGGAGGCAGTTGGTTGGTTTTTCAGTGCCAATACCAGATGCAGTAGTTTTTAGCTTATCTTTGGCTCTAATTCTGCTAGGTAATCTCAACACATACTGCTCTCTTTGCTTCTGCTCTCTCTAATTTTCTCAAAATGTCTGAAATAGTTAATTTTTTACTGTTTTTCAGTGCATTCTGGGCATTTTGAAAGGTCTCCTGATGTTATCTTTAAAAAACGCTTATAAACGCAAACGCACATAAACATGCATAAATGCGGTATGCAAACGCTGCTGAACAGACATTTTTTAACCTACGTTTCCAGCCGTCATATTCCATCATTCAGAAGTGTTTTCCTAATGTCCCGTGTACATGGAGCCTAATACTATTGTAGAAAGCAAGCTTATAATGTCCATCAACAATAGCTCAAAGCCTGCTGACACAGGCCAATTAAAAGATATCAAGTCACATAAAAGGAAGATAATCACATTTTCTATAAACACAGTAACGAGCACCTGTGGGCCATAACAAAGTGCAATACTGCAAAAAAGGTGCCTCCAACTTCATCTTTCAAAGCAACAACTATATTTAAAGAAGAGCTCTAGTGAAAGCTAAAAAAAATGAAAGTCAGCAGCTACAAAAACTGTAGGTGCTGACTTTTAAAAAACAGCCACTCACCTGTCCCTCGATCCAGCGGTGTACTCTCTGCAGCTGGTTTCATCGGACGCCCCTGCTCCCTGACATCTTAAGTGTGGGTACCTGGCTGTGACAGCTTGCGACTTCACAGCTGGGTGCCCACTGCACATGTGCGAGTAGCGCTGCGCCTTGTGGATGGTCCCGTTGTCTTCGGGGGCCTGTCACGTGACGCAAAAGACTATGGGGAGTAAGGGGGGAGGACCTAGGTGGTCGCAGCGTAAGTGGGATCGGGTACCTGTCAAAATCGGGTACCCCCTCCCCAAAGGTGCCAATTCTTCACGGGGAGCCAGGGAACAGTACTTAAAGCAAAACTTCCCCTTTTGGGTGGAGTTCTGCTTTAAAGTTGCCAATGTATTTAATGCAAACCTACACTTTACCCCTATGTAGCAAGCCTCTTTCTTGCTTTGCCCAGTTTTGACAAAGTACAGGCTTGCTGTTAACACAACTACCACTTTAAATGTAGTATAGAATGTTGATACTCTAAATATATTATCTTATCTACACCAACTGGGAATTTAAACCAGTTCAGTACATTTCTAAAAAAATGCTCAGACATCTCTAGTCATATACATGGTGTATGTTTTGACACAGCAACAAAGTGAAGATAATTTCACTACTGAGAATACATTTTTAATGAGAAATTTGAATCAACTAGATAAGCTTACTAGATACAAACTTTGTATCTTCTTTAAATAATTCATAGCTTTAATTATTAAAGCCTCTTGTATGTTTCTTAAAATATACACTAAAATTGTTAGGATAGATAGATAGATAGATAGATAGATAGATAGATAGATAGATAATTTTTGTGTATTTTCTATGTACTGATAATTTGTAGGAAATGGTATTCTATGTCAGATGTTTTTCTTCTTCTGTCCTCTTACCATTGTTCCAGGATTTCCAGGAATTCCTGGTACACCTGGTGGACCAGGAGAACCAGCAGCTCCTCGCTCTCCAGAAGGTCCTCTAGGCCCAACAATTCCAACAGATTCACTTTTTCCATAGCCATTTCCTGGTGGCCCTGGTCTTCCTCTCTCCCCTGGGGGTCCTGCAGATCCGGGAGCACCAGCCTCACCCTACCGTAAGAGTGTATATAATACAAAATTGCTTAATAATTTCCAGTAACCTATTTAATGCTAAGATGCTAAATGATACGGCTGCTTACCTTTTCTCCAGGTATTCCAGGAATACCCGGCTTTCCCGGAGTGCCCTGTTATGGTATAAGTGGACATAAAATAATGTGTTATTGTTAATCTTCTGTACTTTAACACAGATATAAACATAGTCAGGGGAATTCAAAGTAGTCCTAATGACAGAATTCAGGAGGTGGGTCCCTTAAGAACTACTTGTGCCTAATTCAAGCAAACATTTGCACTAGTGTTGGTAACATTACCAACATGTGCGGCAAATTCAGATAGGTATTTCTACCGCCACTTTAAAAACCTATTGATATGGCAGTGACAATTTTTCAAAGACTTACCATAAATTCTCAGATTAGGAAACTGGCAGTAATTAGGACCAGCTCATAGCTGGCGTACAGAGGCAAGGCAGTACTCAGTGTGGGCCATGCCTGCTTTGGGAAGCTGCCATGTATGTGACAGGGCTGTATCCCTGTCCCTATTTAGCTCTTAGCCAAAGATTTCCTGGTTGAAAGCTAAGTGTAAACAAAGGTAATGTTAGTAACCACTTCCCTATAGTAGAACTACTGCTACAGGGCGGCAGGGCTGTGCAAAATCACAGCCCTGCCGCCCTGTAGCAGTAGTTCTACTATAGGGAGGGCTGCAGGGCTGTGCAAAATACCTGATTCTGTATGGAAATAGGGGGGTGCGTGCCCTACCCACGCCGCTATTGGCAGCTACAGCTTTTGATCACCTGGTCCTGGCCAGAGATTCCCCGCCGGCACTTGGCAATAGCTGAGGAACACTGATGGGGGAGAGGTCTGTATGTAAACAATACAGATCTCTCCCCTGTCAGCTCCAGCATGCTGCTTTGTATTGCTCTGTATAGCATAGCAATACAAAGCAGCGTCCTTACACAGTAAAACACACACACAGCACACTGTTAACCCTTTGATTGCCCCAGATCTTATCCCCTTCCTGCCCAGTGACATTAGTACAGTGTCAGTGCTTTTTATTAGCATTGATCACTGTATTAGTGTCACTGGGGATTTCAGGTGACAGTGTCAGAATGCCCACCGCAGTCCCGCTATAAGTCGCTGATCGCCACCATTGTATATAAAAAAAAAATACATAAAAATTCCAGTATATATACCGCCATTTGTAGACGCTATAACTTTCACGTAAACCAATTAATTTACACGTATTCTGATTTTTTTTTTTAGCAAAGACATGTAGCAGAATACATTTTGGCCTTAATTTATGAGGAAATTTGATTTTTTAAATTTTTTTTACAGGATATATTGTATAGCAAAAAGTCAAAAATAGTTTTTTTTTTTTCAAAATTGGTGGCTTTTTTGTTTATAGCACAAAAAAAATAAAAAATGCAGAGGCGATCAAATACCATGAAAAGAAAGCTCCATTTGTGGGAAAAAAGGACATAAATTTAATTTGGGGACAGAGTTGCATGAACGCGCAATTGTCAACTAAAGTAATGCAGCGCCGTATCGCAAAAATTGACCTGGTCAGGAAGGGGGGTAAATCCTCTGGAGGGCAAGTGGTTAACCAAACAAGCCAATGCCCATAATTGGGGAATGACTTGTCTGTGGGTGGGTGGAACCTGCTGATGAAATGAAAAACGGTGAAGACAAATTGCTGAAGTTCAAACCGAGCATCAGATTGGGGAAGAAAGGGGATTTAAGTGACTTTGAATGTGGCATGGTCGTTGATGCCAGACGGGCTGGTCTGAGTATTTCAAAAACTGCTGATCTACAGGGATTTTCACACACAACCATCTTTATGGTTTACAAAGAATGGTCCAAAAAAGAGAAAGTATCCAGTGACAGTTGTGTGGACAAAAATGCCTTGTTGATGTCAGAGGTCAGAGGAAAATGGGCAGACTGGTTGCTGCGACATTCAGATGGCAGGGTCAGAATTTGGCGTGAACAACATGAAAGCATGGATCCATCCTGCCTTGTATCAACGATTCAGACTGGTGGTGATGGTAATGGTGCGGGGGATATTTTCTTGGCACTAGCAAGGTATACCTAATAAAGTGGCCGGAGTGTGTATAACACAGGATTAATGTTACACAAAAAAACATAGGCACCAACTAGATCAAAATTCAAAGAACAATATACTCAAAAAATGTAATCAAATCAAAAAAGGAAAAAAAACAGGGTCAAATAAAAAATCTTTAAGAAAAAAAAATCAACTTCACCAAGAATACTCAGGACTAGTATTCTATCGTTTACACAATCAAAGGCTTACATACTGAGAAAGACAGCTCAATATGCATATGCTAAAACTGTAAAGGTATTGGAATTTAAAGAAAACAGTATATGGACCGGTATTCAACCATCTGTTGATTGTACAAATGAAAGTAATGAAGTGAGAAAGTCACATTTGAAGTTGTAGTTTAAAGACATGAAGAAATAACATCTTCTTGGATTTCAAACTGTTGAAAAGAACTCCTCCTGTAGGAAACACTAGCAAAAAAACTTCTTCAAACACTACATGTGTTCTCCTCTTTGGGAAGTGTCTAAAATGAAATCCTTAGTGTTATTAAACTTCCACAAAAAAGACATCCATCCACATAAAAATGTCAAAAGAGGCACCTTTGGACAGAGCTTACTGAACGCTTCCACTCAGTTGTAATCAGGAATTCAAATGCATAACCCCTTTACTATGGTTTCATAAGTATTAGCTCTGGCAAACTTTGTCACACAAAACAGGTGTTCAGCAGGATTTTTTTACATTTACTTGTGAATGTTTTGAATGAAGAGTGGTTTACTTTTGTCTCTAAAACAGCTTACCAATCATTAAAGACATGTGGTGGCTTCATTAGTTTTTTTAGGCTTTTTTCCTCTCTGTCTTCACCTGGTGATCTGGCCAAGTAACAGACCTCCTGTATTAGAGTGCTCTCACTCTGAACGAAAGAGCACAGAGGCACAGCAGAAAGCAACATTGTCAGTCTGGGGGATCATTAAATGTACTAGCAGATTACACTAACAAATTGAAGCCAAACTCCAGTTCACACTGCAGTTACAGCAAACAATTTTTTCCCTGGGGATAAAGGTTTTACATGAATGAATAAAAGCTGATCATCGTAAGCACCCCTGTCAGCGGTAAATGGTTTGTTTCAACCTCTAAACTGCTACATCTGTGTCTGAAAATAAAGGAAAGAAGTCCTAAATAGAACACTAATGCAGTCACCAGAAAAATTGCTAAGCTGAAATATAATGAATATTTCCTTTTGGGTTTAATACCACTTTAAATGGCAGACATATAACTTTGGAAATCTTTATTTCATCCTAGCACCATTAATATTTCTTCTACAGAACTATTTATGTAATATATATATATCTATGTTCATCTTTGTACTCCAAATTCTTATCCCGATTTCCTCTGAGACAATGAGTTGAAGAAGAACATCCTTTCTTTCAATTACCTGAGCAGTTGAATACATTTTGCCTTACTGATCTTCAAGGGGTATAATTTCATAATATGAGATTGTTATATTTTCTAAGGCTTTATCTATATAATTTTAAATATAACTTCCTAGATTGTTTTAAATTCAGCAATGGACTTACTAGCTTGACTGATGTACAGGTGTTTCTTAATTAAAGCTATTCATGGCTATTTGTAACACCTGAACTCATTTACGTGTTCTGAAAGGAACCAAATGCTGTAATCCAGTCCTTTGTCTGTGACACAAGCAAGATTGAAACACTGGAAATGCATTCCTTTCTTCATGCATGCTTCCATTGGCTCATTCTCAGTCATTGTAAACTTCACAATGCACAGGAATTGCACAGAGAAGCTTCTGATTATGGTAAAAATGGTTACTGATGCAACTATTTGTACATATAGCTATAGATCAATGCAGATCTCTGTAATTAGAATATTTAAATTATACATTCAATAATTTATTATATCAGAGATGGAAAGTGATGAGTCAAGTAATGGTCCAGAGTAACGTTTTGATGACATAATTGACATAACTACTACACACAGAAGTGACATAATTACACACAGAAGAGCTAAGCATGTAGTGTCACATACCTCTTTCCCAGCTGCCCCGTCTGATCCTATCTCGCCCTAATGTCAAATACAAGAAAAGATGTTTCCATTTAAAAAATATAAAACTGATATTCCAGTGTGTTAGATAAAACAAACCCATACCTACAGTTGAATTTCAGGCAGATATAAAGTGCACACATTAAAGCAGCTCTGTATTCATTAACACAATGCCTTGAAAAAGTATTCATTACCCTTGAAATTTTCCACATTTTTTCATGTTACAACCAAAAATATGAATGTATTTTATTGGGATTTTATGTGATAGACCAACACAAAGTGGCACATACTGTAAGTTCCCGACTTACGAACAATCGAGTTGCAAACTTTCACAGATATGAACGGACCTCGCATTATGAACATTCGTAGATGTGAACAAACCACGGAAGTAGCTCACGTGTCTGCCGGACATTGTCACAGTTGTGCTGCTGTGTGCTTACTGCACAGTGCGATAGTGTACTGTACAGAACCCAGGATGTCCGAAAGCAAGAGGAAAAGCAGTGGTGATGTGGAGGGGACTGCTAAGAAGCACAAAGCAATAACCAAGGAAACAAAAGTGAAAATAATTGAGAAATTGGACAGAGGAGAAAATATGGTAGACATCATTTGTTCTTATAAAATAAATTGTTCAATCATTGGCACAATTCTAAAGAACAAGGCCAAGATCATGGAACATGTGAAATCTGCTGTGCCTATGAAGTCAACAGTAATATCCAAAAAGAGTGGTATAGTGATAGATGAAATGGAGAAACTTCTCAGTGTGTGGATGCAGGAGCAGCATCAGCATTGATCTGGTAGAGAACATACCCAAAAAGACTTGCAGCTGTAATTGCAGCGAAAGGTGGTTCTACAAAGTATTGACTCGGGGCTGAATACAAATGCATGCCACGCTTTTCAGATATTTGTAAAAAAGTTTGAAAACCATGTATCATTTTCCTTCCACTTTACAATTATGTGCCACTTTGTGTTGGTCTATCACATAAAATCCCAATAAAAATAAGTTTACGTTTTTGGTTGTAACATGACAAAATGTGGAAAATTTCAATGGGTATGAATACTTTTTAAAGGCACTGTACATCATTACATGTAATCTTTTTTAATGTGAGCAGCACAAGTACCTGAATTTACCTTGGTATCAGCCTGTCGCAACTACCTATATAGCTCACTAGTGTACTGCTTCTCTTTTCACTGTCCAGTTACAGGCTGGAACAAGGAACAGGACCTGTAAGTATTATCACAGCAGACAAATTGGGGTTTATTTACTAAAGCTGGAGAGTCCAAAATCAGACTCCCTTCTGCATAGAAACCAATCAGCTTCTAACCTCAGCTTGTTCAATGAAGCTTTGGCAATGAAACCTGGAAGCTGATTGGTTTCTATGCAGAAGGGAGTCTGATTTTGGACTCTCCAGCTTTAGTAAATAAACCCCATTAGGTCTTCCGTCCTGCCAGAGAGGGTTGTACAGTGTGATAAAGCTGAGTAAATCTCAGGACTGGATAGACAAAAATACAAATAGTTTGGCAGGTAAAATATCTCTCATATGTGTATTTTATCTTTGTGTTTATCATCTTGTTTGGAATTTGGCTTTAAGATGAATTGTTTATACTGTAACTGAAGTGGAACGGAATTCATACAATTAAAATTTGCTCTATAGTAGGAAGCAGCTAGAAGCACAAGCAGTATCCTGAAAAAAGTACCATTTTATCTTGAATTCCTCCTCAAAAATAACAGTGCACTCCCAGCTTTTTTTTCAGTGGTAACGCGGGGAAATGCAGTTCAGAGACCTCCAGCACTAAATGTATGTAATGGCAAGAGCTGCTGAGGTGTGCAGGAGGGTCTATTGATGCTGGCTGTTGGGGGATCTAGTGTTGCTGGGGGAATCTCTTGATGTGGGATGGGTCTATTGTTGCTGAAGCGTCAATTGTCGCTGGGAGGGATCTACTGTTGTCTACTGTTGCTGGCTGCAGGGAGATCTATTGTTGCTGGAGTGAGTGCGTTTGGGGGGGGGGGGGGGGTTTTTGCTCCTGGGAGTGCTTTTGTTGCTGGCAGCAGGGGATCTATTTTACTGCTTTTTATGATATCTTTATCAAATTCTATATAAATAACTTAGCACTGCAAAATTATACTTGGTTCTGTATTCACTAAAAGGGGTGGTACTGGTAGGTGGTGGGACTAAAGTATGGTTCTCGTAGGTGGGGGGCGGAGACAAGGGGTGACTTGGAAGGGGGGAGTACCTGCACTTAGTCTCTGAGAAAAAAAGCCCTGAATGCACTTCCTGTTATGCAAATGTGCCTAGGCACTCCTGTGAGTGGAGCTCAATGCTCTTTATCTGCAGTGTGAGGTCTAAGGCAGTGGATGATCTGCTGTCTCTGACTGATAGTCTCAGGAGACTTGGAGAGGTTTCTACTTTTTTTTTTTATTCTGGCTGAAGGCTCTGATATAAGGAAGCAAAAATATTCCTCTACCAAGGTGGCCATCCCCACCCAGAGTTAAAATGCCAAGCAAGGCAGCACAAGTCAATAATGGGGAAAAGGTCAGCTGCAGGGAGGTCATAGGCAATGTTGGTGACTACAGCTCCTTTGCATGTAAGCCTTTATTGTATGCCCCATAAGGTGCAAAAGAATACTATTTTTTTCTAAAATAAACTGTTCAGTGAACCACTGAACACACCATCACATACAGCTTCTTGGGTATGGGAAAGAAACCACTTCTCCTTCCTTTACTTCCAAGGTAGTGCTTTGTGTCTAGGCAACCTATTGAAAGGCTAAATCACTGCCAATTTCAAGAGGGAAAAGGGGGGAAACAGGTCTAAATAGTCTTTTTTTTATAGATAGGTTTACATCAGGAATTGATACAATGACAAGATGCTCTGCATCAGACAGTCAGTATTAATACACAATCAAAATCAAGTGTATAAACAAGGAATGACATTGGATACATAATGGCACAAAATTCAACAATTGTCATTTTTAAATCACTTAAAAGGGGTGTTTCTTCATTCATGAAATAAAGAGTCTGCTTTAAAGCATAACTGTTACTAAATCAAAACAACAAAGCTAAAAGGAACTTGTGGATAGCATATGCTGTCAGTATAAGTCTCTTGCCACCTATGTATGATTGCATTTTGCCATCCACCACCATGACAGTGCCTGGGTAGCAGAGGCAACAGACATGATTTTGTGGGATGGATGAGGGAAGCAGGTAGGTTGCAGGAAGGCCAGGGCAATTCTCAAGTGAGTCTGTATAGTAGTAGCTACAGCAGTTATGCTTTTAGTTTAGGTATATTTTAAACCCAATATCATACCAGTTTGCTATATCTCTCATGACCTATGAGATCTCTGCTTTAAGGTTTCATGTATGCCATATGCCAAGGCCACTAGGTAGAGAATATTTGTTGAATTTTATATTTGTACATTATGAAGAATGCAAATTAGTGGAACAGAGCTAATAACTATGGCAGGTGTAAGTAACTATCATGTATAACTCATGAGTAGACTCACTCTTTTACAATGGTAAAAGTCTCTGAATTTCTCTTTATCAGTGCAAAAGTATTTGTATTTTTTTCATGTTTTTTCTTGGTTTTTTTTGCTTTGCTGTTTTGTACACGTTGATTGGTTAACTCAGGGGTCCTCAAACTTTTTTAAACAGGGGGCCAGTTCACTATCCCTCAGACCGTTGGAATGCTGGACTATAGTTTAAAAAAAAAAAAAAACTATGAACAAATGCGGACACAGTACAGTAGATGACCAGTGACTGCGGACATACAACGGTGGCGGGAATACTGGGCTGGCCGCTCCATGAGACGCACAGACATTTCCCCCCAAGTGTGTCTTATGGAGCGAAATAGTGCCCCATCATTGGTGTCAGTGGGAAGAATCGTGCCCCATCATTAGTGTCAGTGGGAGGAATAGTGCCCCATCATTGGTGTCAGAGGGAAGAAACGTGCCCCATCATTGGTGTCAGTGGGAAGAAACGTGCCCCATCATTGGTGTCAGTGGGAGGAATAGTACCCCATCATTGGTGTCAGTTCGAGGAATAGTGCCCCATCAGTAGTGTCAGTGGGGGGAGGAATAGTGCCCCATTATTGGTGTCAGAGGAGGGAGGAATAGTGCCCCCATCGTTGATGTCAGTGTTGAGGGGGGGGGGAATAGTGCCCCGTCATTGGTGTCAGTGGGGGAAGGGGATAGTGTCCCAACATTGGTTTCAGTGGGAGGAATAGTGTCCCATCATTGGTGTCAGTGGGAAGAATAGTGCCCCATCATTGGTGTCAGTAGGAGGAATAGTGTCCCATCATTGGTGTCAGTGGGAAAAATAGTACGTCATTGTGTCAGTGGAGGGGAATAGTGCCCCGTCATTAGTGTCAGTGGGAGGGGGATAGTGTCCCAACATTGGTGTCAGTGGGAGGAATAGTGTTTCATCGTTGGTGTCAGTGGGGGGGGGGATAGTGTCCCATCGTTGGTGTCAGTGGGGGAAGGAATAGTGTTCCATCATTGGTGTCAGTGGGGGGTGGAATAGTGCCCCATTGTTGGTGTCAGTGGAGGGTGGAATAGTGCCACATCGTTGGTGTCAGTGGGGGGAGGAATAGTGTCCCATCATTGATGTCAGTGGGAGGAATAATTCCCCATCATTAGCATGAGTGACACCAATGATGGGGCACTATTCCTCCCACTGACACCAATGACACGTAACTTGTTGACCCCTGTTCCAGCCTAGGTGCTACTGCAGCCAGCATACCTGGTTGCAGCAGCACCATCTGCACGGCACACTTACCTGTCAGCTGTCCTTCTTCACTCCGGCCTCTCACTTGATGTTCGCGGGGCCGCTCGGCTCCCCTCCTCACAGGTGATTGGCCGCCTGTGTGCCTTTCCTGAGCTACAGTTCTGGCGCCCAATCACCGGTGAGGAGGAGGAGCCGAGCGGCAGGAGTGAGGGAGTGGCCGGAGTGAATGAAGGAGCAGCGCTTCCTGGACTGGATCATCGTGGGACTGGGACCAGAGCTAGGTAAGGTACAGCAGCCCCCTGCCCGCCCCTGTACTTAGTGTCCCTTCCTGTCCCGCCCCTGTCAGATAAATGGCCTCGGCGGGCCGCATGTGGCCCGCGGGCTGTAGTTTGAGGACCCCTGGGTTAACTCATTATGCTTATTGCTTACAAAAGAAATGGGATACTTACAACTGGTCCAGGATGTCCTGGGCCTCCTGGTTCTCCTGGAAGACCCATCAGTCCCCGTTCACCTGGGGAGCCTCTTTCACCCTTCAAGCCCTAGAATAAAATAAATACAGATAGGTTATTGTGATTATAAATGGCAGTGTATTATTTTGCAATAACATATTATATTATTAAGGCCTCACAAGTCCAGGGGGTCCAGCTGGGCCTGGTTGTCCTGGAGTTCCAGAAGGTCCCTAAAAAAGATACCAACAATAATGTGTGGTTTATAGTAAGTGTGCCAAACCAGCATAAATAATCTTTCTATACTTACAATGTGTCCTGGAGGACCTGGACGTCCTTGTGGGCCCATAGGACCAGGATCACCCTAAATCATTGAAAAACAAATTAATTAAAATTTTGTACAGGGCACTAGATTTTTAAACTTTTATTTCTCTTTTAACTAAAACTTTTAGTATCAGTAATCTGTACCACAAAGTTTGGAGGGGGGGGAGGGCATTGCACTATTATGGGAGAGGGCTTGCTATTAAGATAACATGGCTGATGATGCAGGATTTCTGTTGTGAAATATATCCTTCAGAAAATTTAAATTCCTTTAATTGATTAGTGGCTTATATTCATTCACCAACCTCTGCTCCTGGCCGACCAATGCTTCCCGCTGGTCCTTGAGGTCCACAGTCTCCCTGTGGCACAGATACAGCAGTGAGGAATTAGAGCTTGTTCAATGGATAAGTTGTTATAATAAACAAATGTGAAATTCTTATACCTTTTGTCCTGGTAAACCCGTATGTCCAGTTTTCCCTTTAAATCCCTGGTTTAAAAACAATATGTTGTAAATTAAAACATTCCATTTGTCTGAATAATACTAGAACATAAAAACAAATTCTAAGGCTACGTTCATACTAGCGTTGTGTGCAGGCGGCAGAGAGGCGTTTGGGAAGCGTTTTTACCGCTTCCCAAACGCCTCGGACAATTCTGCACATTGTAGCACATGGTGCTGTTCTAACGGGAGCGTTAGCATCGCGTCGCGTCAAAACGGACGCCTCTGGTCGAGTCAGGAGGCGTTGAAGCCTCCTATTCTAGTTTATGGTGCCGCTCCGAAAACGCCCCGGCCGGCGTTTGCGGTGCGGTTGCAGGGCGTTTGCGGAGCGGTAACACCGTTTAACCTTCATTATAGGCATTTGTGGGGCATTTGTAATGCTCGGCAAACGCCTAGCGATCTCCGCTAAACCGCGCATGCTGCGTTTGCGGAGCGTTAAAAACGTTCAGTAAACGCCGGACCAACGCTTGCCAAACGCTATAGGGGTGTTTGACAAGTGTTGGTAAAACAGTCAAGTATGAACAAGCCCTAATAAATACCCAAAATTAATAATGCAGTAAATCTGTTTTCAAGGATAAGATCATTAGACATAGAAAGGGTAACTAAATGAGACTGAGTTGTAATATAGATCTAAAATGCAACATATATTTTTGTTTTCACTCACAGGGATCCCCTTCAATCCTGGAGGCCCTGGTGGACCTGGTTCCCCCTGCACACATGACAAAAAAGAGATGTCAAATATAAAATTTGATTACAAAGTACTTTGTAAAAACAGTATAAACAGCAATATAAAACAGAAAGCACAAGGGTCAATGTAAAGGACATGTCTTTGCCTTATTGATTCAGACTAGGTTTTTTTCCAATATTTTCCTTTTAATTTTTAAAAAATCTATTGCATTGTGAACACATATAACAAAATTGCAGAGTTCATTTGAATTGTCAACTGATGTTACAGAATTATAGACATTAAATATGCAGTGATCTTAGAATGCAGAAAAGTGTGACAGTGTTTCAAGTACACTGTAGACCATAGTGCATGCCATTAGTAGACAGTCTTAAGTAACATTTATTTTTCTGTCAAAAGAAAAGTCATGGACATTATTTTTACTTCTTCTAATAAATAATAACATATAGGTACTAAGAAAGTTGGTTCACATTACAAATCTGCTACATACCCTAGATCCAGGCTTTCCATCCTTTCCATCTAGCCCTTCAATTCCAGGTAGACCCTGGTAACACATACATAAGTAGCATGTAACAGGTTTCTAAAAAATCATCATAATATAATCTGTTTCACAAGTTGTTAATACACACCTGCATTCCAGGAGGTCCAGGAGAACCCGGGGGACCTGAAAGTCCCGGAGAACCACGTAGTCCTTCAGCACCCTGCAAAACAGAACCAACATACATATGCTTAACACAGCTTTCAAATTTTTTTGCACACGTTAAAAATCTGAATTTCTGGCTAAAAAAATTACTTAAAATCCCCTAAACATTATATATTTTCTAATAGGAAGAAGGGTCAGCCGCACACCGGAGGATAGATGAATATAGTGTGTATTTATTGATCCATAGGACACACAAAACACCAGGACATGAATACAGGACTTGTTAAAGCGTTAACAAGTCCTATATTCATGTCCTGGTGTTTTGTGTGTCCTATGGATCAATAAATACACACTATATTCATCTATCCTCCAGTCTGTGGCTGACCCTTCTTCCTATTGCATCATGTATGGTGGCGAGCCAGAGCCTGCACCTGTTGTGGATTGATCTGGATTGTTTGCCTGAGCAGCAAAGGCCCTGTATTAAAAATTATGGTATCTGCTTTTTTATGTTGTGTGATTTTTGTTCAACTGGTTTACAAATTGATATTTTCAGTAAAGAATATACTAAAATTAATCTTAGTGCACGCATACATAATATAATACAATTTTTTGGAACAAAATAAGAGATAAAGAGTTTTGTTGAGTAAATAGATAGGAGATATGTCAAGCCTTGAAACATTGAAAAATTACAATACAATACAATTGAAAACATTACAAAATTACAGTATGTACAATTATCAATCACCAATGATTTACAGTAGTAGTAACCCTCTTACATATACCAAGTGAAGCGAACTGACCCCAGATGGTACACTAAGATGAAACAAACCCTCTTACATCTGTCTATCTGCAGTCTTCTCTCCTCTACATCCATTCAAACTGCTGAATTTATGAAGCTTGTCTGAGTTCAGAAAAAAGGGGGAGGAGAGCTGAAATTACACATTGCAGAGCTCAGTGAGAAGAGCTGAAAGCTGATTGGAGGGAAGGGACACCCCCCACACTTCACACAGCTCACAGGAACAGAACTGAGGCTGTCAATCACAGGCTGTGTGCTGGATGTCCCTGCCCTGTCACCTTTATTCCCTTGGTGGCAGGAAAACTTCTCAGAAGTGATTCATGCTAATAGCGGAATGAGGCAGCAGACAGAAATTACACTTAGTGCTGTGGATTCAGATAGGTACACACTATAGAGGGATATGCTTTGTTCATGTTTCCTGTCAGAGGTTTAAAACTACTTTAAATACCCATAAAGCTCATCCGTTTAAAGTTAAGCATAAATGAGGCACCTAGAATTATTGCTCTCACTTCAGGGTGTGTGGCAATACCCAATATGTGTTGTGCAACAAGCACATCTGCACTAATTTGTGTGTGCACAGGACCACGATGGTGTTTTTAATTGTTTTTTTATTTTTGTTATATTTTTAACATTTTAATGCTTTTTTCACTTAACTTTTTAGGGGTCTTTTAGACCCCTAATGTCTCTCCTGCCCTTTGCTCAAGCTTATAAATCAAAAAGTGTGCTTGATTTGCTTTTTATCCTTCATTTACGGAACAGAGAACAGTCATTTGTGCTGTATCACAAGCCTCTGTACTATGTCCTGTTCAAGTTAATTTGTTTGTAAGTGATACAAACTAAAGGTTTGGTGGGTAAGGTATGTCTTTTTGCTGATGGGCACAAAGATGTGCAATAGGGTTGATATCCCTCTAGGTGTCTGTAACATGGAACAAAATCTCTTGCTTGAGTACAATATTGGGGGGTACAGTGTTGGCCAGAACTATAGAAGAACAAGATTTGAAAGTAATTATTTCAGATTATTGCTAAATGAGCAAACAGTGTGGCCAGACAGTGGGATGTGAAGTGAATAGTGTGAAGTGAATAGAATTCTAGAATGTATAATTAGAGGGCTCTCCAGTAGGAGGTCCTTTCCATAGATCTTTAGTTAGATCTTATTTAAAACAATCTGTCCAGTTCAGAAGACCTCACTTATAAAAAAAATATTGATAAGACAGAACAAGTTCAGAGATGGGCAACAAAAGTGATTAAAGGACTGAGGGATGAAAAAAAAAAATCATGAGAGATTTCAGAAACTTAATATACACAGTTTGGAAGAAATAAAAGAAAGGGGGGCTGAAATCTTTAAATACATTAGGAGTGTGAATAAGGTTCAGAAGGGAAGTATTTTCAATACATATTTAAGATCAAAGAACAGAAATGGTCAGCCAGGAACTTGGCAAATGTCACTATGCAGAGTAAACTGAGCTTCATTGAGGCCCAGAATGACAAATTAGCAACTCTGGACTTTGCTAAAATGACTAGTCTGTTGCAAAATATTTGTGGAATGGAATGAGATTCTGTAAACTGCTAATTTCTAACAAGCAGGAAGGGAAGGTGAGTATGTCCTGCCAGGAAGGAAAGAAATGAAGAGAACCTGTTGTTTTTCTCCTATAAGGGCAAAGCACCGGTTAAATTCAAGCTAAATATAAGTCAAACTTTGAAAGATATGATTTATGAAATATTAAAACTTTACTTTTTCTGCTGGGGGCCCAGGTGGTCCTGTTGGTCCTGGCTTTCCTTGGAATCCGGGAGGTCCCTAAGAAAAAGAAAAAAGAATATTTCAGACTTCCAAGCCTACAAACCTACTAAGTATAACCCAAAGTGTTTTTCTACTAATTAGTGACTATATGACTATTTGGGAGATTTACTAAAATTGGTGTAGTCAGAATATGGTGCAGTTGTACGTGGTAGCTAATCAGCTTCTAACTTCAGCTTGTTCTGGAAGCTGATTGATTTCTATGCATAGCTGCACCAGATTGTGCACCATGCAGTTTTAGTAAATAACCTCTTGTGTGAATAGGCAAATATTTCAACCTTAAAATGGTAGCAAACTCTTCTTTAATAATTTTACCTACAGGTAAGCTTGTAATAAAGCTTACCTGTAGGTAAAAATAATATCTCCTAAATGTGAACAGTTAAGGAGGTATTAGCCCTTTTTGACAGCCAGTGCATGCACTCTGAACAAACGACATACCCGTGCCGTTCCTTCAGAGCACTGTGCCGTGGCCTGGGACTCCCGCGTGCATGCACCAGAGTAACGTCATCACGGTTCAGCCAATTATCTGGCCAGAGCTTGCGAACTCGGAAGGAAGGCAGGGTGAAGATGGAAGACCTGGGAAGCCGTGACAGCGCTCCACTGGAGGGCTTTGTTTCAAGGTAAGTCCTCCGTATTGTGCTAGTTGCAATGCATACTAGCACTTCATGCCTTTACCTTTCAGTGGGTTTGTTTTGGATGTGGTTTACTACCACTTTAAATGGAACACAACTTCATATTCTGGAAACAATATATCTGGCTTAATCACTCAAAGTTATGAAACAAAATAATATGATTAAAATATACTAGTCCTCATTTTTTTATGTAGAATATGTACAATTTATGCAACAGTTTACAGCATATAAGCACATTATGGGGCATATTTAATGAATAATGCAAGGAATAAAAATATGCCTCAAAGCAACAATATTTCAACTTTTATCAGTATGGGGTACTCAGAAAAATGATTATCATTAATCAATTATTCCTACATGTACTTACTGGGGGCCCAGGGAATCCGGGTGGTCCAGGAAATCCCTATATGATAAAAGAAAATAAATATGAATGAGACAGTAACTTAAAATGAAATGCACAAATGTTGCTACTAACCTGATCAGACTTTAAACAGCAAAGTTGAAAATATTTTTACTTTCTGCAGTTATTGTTTTTTTGTATTAGCAATCAAAGTGTATATGAGCCACTACTGATATTTAGGGATATATAAAATTCCCATATAGGCACAAATCATATTTACGTGTTAAAAAGGGTCTCTTCCTAAGGTCAAAATTTAGGGCTCACACACGTCCACCAAACAAGAAGAATGCTGTTTATTAACCACTTCCCGTCAGGCCCATGTATATAAATGGCTGGATGGGAGCAGTGCAGGGGAGGGAGTCCATTTATAAACGTCCTCCCCGCCCCCTGCTTGTGCGTGCTCCCTGGGAGTGCATGGCACCGCGATCTGGTGCCCGCTGTGAGGTCCTGATCATGTAATCAGTGATTGGCCAATCAGTGATCATATGAAGAGTAGTAAGCAAGATGTCACTTCTGACATCATTGCTTAATACGTGTGAAATCTGTGAATGATCACAGAGGTCACATGGTACAAGGCTATTCACAACAGCCTTGTACCATGTGACAAGCTGTGACCAATCACAGCTCACACAGTATTTCTCAATGGCTGCAAGAATACAGCCAGAGATAAGGAGAAATTATTGCTTTTACAGCCTTTATGGATGTAAAAGCAATCAGTGTAAAAAAAAAAAAAAAATCTTCATAACCCCCCACAAGTATTACAGTGTCACTACGGTGACACTGTACTGCTAGCATGACAGTATGTAAAAAAACAAAAAAAAAAACAAACAAATAATATAAAAAAAATTAAAATGTAAAAAAAAATTGAAAAATTTATAATTTTTGGTTATAAACTAATTTGGGTTATTATTTTATTTTTTGCTAAAAAGATAGCTGAATACATTTTGGCCAAGGTTTATGAATAAAGATTATTTATTTGCAAAATTTTATAAGAAAAACACTTTTTTTCAAAATGTTTTGACTTTTTCATTTATATAGCAAAAATTTTAAATCCCAGTGGTGAATAAATACCACCAAAATAAAGTTCTATCTGTCTCAAAAAAATGCTGAAAAATTCATATGGGTACAGTGTCGCATGACCGCGCAATTGTCATTCAAAGTGTGATACTGCTGAAAGCTGAAAATTGGCCTGGACAGGAAGGGGGTAAAAGTACATGTAAACCTCAAATTTAATTTTCAGTATGGTTTGCAACTTCTCACTGTATATATTATTTTTGCTAACTCTGTTGCAAGGTTTCTTACCCGGAGATCTTGCCAGAAACATCATTTCCTGTTCCTCATGATTACTAAAAGTATTGAGTTTGTCACATAATATTTGTTAAAGGAAAACCAAGTCTATAATATAATAATAGGGTAGGGCATGGTTGAGTAATTAAAGCTTTACTCCAGGTATGGATGGATTTTATTTCATAGTTAAATTGGTCCAGCTGGGATCAATGAAAGTATGCATATTGCAGTGGGGAATGCTAAGGAAGCAGAGAATCGTTGTAGTAGTCACCACTACTAAAGGTATCGCTGCTGTCTTTTGAGTTCAGTGTTGAGCAGCTGCCTTGCTTCAATGTAACCACAGGGGGTTGTTCCTTCGGCACAGGTGCCATTTACAGAATGCCTTTTATTTTTCTCAATTAATGCACAACGTTCTCTGACTGGATGAGGTGGAGAATGTGACATCACCACCTCACCTCTCCACCTCGTCTAAGCTGGACCCATATAACTATAGAATAAAATCCATCCCTGGAATTCAGCTTTAAGTGATTGATGAGCAAAAAAAACTACAACACGAATTTCAAAAATCTGTCTGAATGTCCACACCAGGAGTAGCATTAAGCTCATAACAGGCTTGTCAATCTTTGCAAAAAAGCAGCAGTTCCCTGACCTTTTATAACAGTAGATGAATGAGCAGCAATGCATGATACGTGTTAGGGTTATAAACGCACAATATTCCCAAACTAAAGGTATGATTTGGGCACTCCACTAAATATCAGTAAAATTGTCTGTTGTTGGTGACTCACCTGATCACCTTTTTCTCCAGAATTTCCTGACAGTCCTCTCTCTCCTCTTGGACCCTAAGTTAGTGAAAGCAAATGATAATGTCAAGAGACGCTTAATTACAATTCAACTTGATGAGATGTTGTTGAACAGGCACTTACCGCAGGGCCGGAAGATCCCGGGACTCCAGGAATACCAGGAGGACCCTTACATAGTAAAATAAACACAATTGTAAGCCTTTATCAACTACATTTATTTTATCTACCCTGCACATAACTGTACTGGATTTGTACAGTATTTGTTATTCCATCCAGTGAAAAATAACTCACAAGTTCAGTTCACTAAGCTATATGTTATTTGCCATAATGATTGTTATTACCATCCCTGCTGAACATAACAGTCATTACAGCAAATAACACATATGTTTCAGCTTAGTGAATTGAGCCTAATACAGCTTCTGAATGAATACCATGCTGTGCTTTCTGACATTCTACAACACATATATTCATATTAGTATGCAAATGCCAATAGAAAACCAAGATATGTACACAACTCCAGGTTCATAAGGGAACTACATGGGTAATAAACCTTAAACACTGCTCAAAAAAAATTAAAGTAACACTTTGAAAACACATCAAATCTCAATGGGTTAAAATATCATTCTGGATTATCTATACTGATATGGACTGGCTAATGAGTTAGGAATGTAAGGATACCGCATCGTTTGATGGATATGAAAATTATCAACCTACAGAGGACTGAATTCAAAGACACCCTGAAAATCAAAGTGAAAAAATGATGTAGCAGGCTAATCCATTTTGCTGAAATTTTATTGCAGCAACTCAAAATGGTACTCAGTAGTTTGTGTCGGAGCATGCTCCTAATAAGACAATGGATGGTGTCCTGGGGTATTTCCTCCCAGATCTGAACCAGGGCATTACTGAGCTCCTGGACAGTCTAAGGTGCAACCTGGCAAATGGACCCAAACATGATATCCCAGAGGTGCTTTATTGGATTTCGTTCAGGTAAGCATGGGGGCCATTCAGTGGTATCAATTTCTTCATCCTCCAGGAACTGTCTGCATACTCTCCCCACATGAGGCTGGGCATTGTCATGCACCAGGAGGAACCCAGGACCCACTACACCAGCATAGGATCTGACAATGGGTCCAAGGATTTCATCCCCACACCTAATGTCAGTCAGGGTGCCTTTGTCTAGCCTGTAGAGGTCTGTGCATCCCTCCATGGATATACCTCCTCAGACCATCGCTGACCCACCACCAAAACGGTCATACTGAACAATGTTACAGGCAGCATAATGATCTCCATGGCTTCTACAGACCCTTTCACGTCTGTCACATGTGCTCAGGGTGAACCTGCTCTCATCTGTGAAAAGCACAAGGCGCCAGGTGTAGGGTCCAGGTATCGCCTCATGCTACCAGTAGTGACACTGACTCTAGCCAAATGCAAAACTAGTGAAAACAGTCAGAAAAGATGAGAAATAAATATCATTGGCCTCCACCTGTAAAACCATTCCTGTTTTGGGGGTCATCTCATTGTGCACCTGTGGTTAATTTCATTAACACCAAAGCAGCTGAAACTGATTAACAACCCCCTCTGCTACTTAACTGACCTGATCAATATCAGTTTAATTGACTTGATGCTATACTCTGATTAAAAAGTGTTCCTTTAAATTTTTTGAGCAGTGCATTTCAGTTTGACATTTAGCTTAAAAGTTTTTGCCAGAAAAACTTTAGACTTTGTCCAGAAAGTTTTTGTCTCAACTCACCGACTCTCCTTTTTCACCAGCTGGTCCACTGTACCCTCGTTCACCTTTGGTACCCTGAATAATAATACATACATTCAGTCAGTCATCACGCACATCAATGAACAAAGAACATCAATGATTATGTATACCTCCCTCCTATAATTTAATACAGTTACTTACAGGGAGTCCTGGGGGACCCAGAGCTCCAGGATATCCAGGCAGACCAGGAGGCCCCTAAAGCACAATGACAAAATATAAACAGGTATTACTTAAATAGACCTAAATATTCAACAATTGCGTTAGCCAAACACCACTTTCTGAATGAGTTATGGAAGATAGATTTTTCCCATTAAGAGAAACGTTATGGATTTACCCTCTACAGTCCTCACTGACATTTATGCATTGTTTATTATGGTTTACAATGGCATTTACCATGTTGCTGTTTTTTTCTGACATTTTTCAGCTTATTCCTTTACTCGACCAGACAAGCTTGTAGTTCTACATTTTTTTATGATAACAACAATTGAAAATATCGAACATAGCCATTTCTTAATTATTTCCTGCATATGACACTATAGGTAAACTAGTAAAGAGCTTGAAGGACACAATATAACAAATTCCAAAACACACCATTTAGCAAGGACAAAAAACAAAATCTAAACTCTCAACACAAATAACACGTTAAAAGAACACAAATTGTTGAAATAGTTTAACCTTTGTTTTGATCTTGCTGTTGGTTGCCCTGCCCTGCTCATGTGCACATTTTTTTGCTATGTATAACTTGATTTGAGGTGTTGCCATATTTATAGGACAAAAGCTTGCCCTAGACATTGAATAACACTGCACCCATTTTGTGTCTCTGTTTTAAACCTTTAACTGCCACCACTTTAAGTACTACTTATTTACAATTAAAATCTAAGTACTGCCTTTGGGCTTTATTGTATAGGTATTCAGAGTGACTGTAAAGCTGATCACTTTTACAGGGTAGCAAAGTGTGTTGTTCCTTTCCAGAGGTTTACTTTCTCACTTCAGAGCCCAGGATCACAAAAAACGTGCTCAGTATGGTGATTAGGAGGCGATAGGGCAATGTTCCTTTCCTGAGTGGATGTTGGATGGCAACAAAAAATGAATACGGAAGCATACAGAATGAACATTTAAGCTGCCAAAACTTAATTGTTCAGAGCTGGCAGTTTCTGGCAAGCAGAAACAGGTACACAGCAGATTTGAAAATGTCTGTCTTTTGAATCTGATTTGTCCTTTTTTTCCTTTATGTAGGGCTGGATCAGGCCCTAATGCACTTATAATAGTAGTCTATTCCTCAGTGGTAGAATGGTGCTGTAGCTGACAAAAGGTTTGTCTGCACCATTTCTAAATAGCAGTATGCCTAAAGTGGTTCAAGCCAATCTAAGGGCTACCTTTTCTTTTGCAGTCAATCAAGACCCTGCATTGGATGTGAGGGCGCTGAAGGACAATCCACCATCAGAGTATGAGAGAACACTGTCTGCCAGGGGAGCGGAAAATCAAGTACGTAAAAGTGCTTTTCCTGTTCCCTAGAGTATATGAGCATTAACCTTTCTGCTGTGGATTGAGCCCCACTGCAAGGGAGAATTTTTATGCCTCCTGGAATTGGGCTTTAAAGTATATCTATGGCCCCCATTAAATATATGGGCTGCAGCACTTGATTATACATACATCTTCATTTACATATTTTTTCTCATTCTCCCTGCAAAGCTTCACAAATACCTGTTTAGTCTACCAATGAAGTCCACCTAATGTGAAAGGGCTATCAGTAGCCTCACCCAGTCCTTCCATTCTTCAAAGGCTGCAGAGGGCAGCAATACTTTTGTATTTTCACTGAAGAGGGAAAAATGTTGTCACCCTATTAAAGGAAGTGTCCAACCAGTGGTCCTACTGACAGAATTAACAAGTATTTACAAAAACATACAGGGGACTTATATAAACAAACAATGACGTGTTAACTGAATGGACAGCTGTCATTAAATATGGACCGCGCATAAATAGTGCAAAAATCAACTTAAACAATAAAGTAATAAACAAAGTAAATTAATCAGTCCCAATAAGTAAAAGCTTAGGTGGAACATGCCACTGCCAAAAGTGGAGCACTTATGTGGAACACATGTTTCCTGCCGAAAGTGGAGCACCAGTCTGCAGCCAGACCCCTCCCTAATAGCCGAGCGACCACTTCCTGTGGAGGGTGCACTGGATGAGAACACGTTCCTTTCTTGGGGAATGATCGTAACAAAGGAGAGGGTTGGTATTAATACAACTCATTTGGAGGAACAAGCGGTTACCATTAGCAATACCGTTTCACTGGGATAGTCCCAAAAGCGCAAACGACCATCCTAGAGATAGGTGGTCATTGGATGATGGTGAGTGTCAGCCCATGTGGGACACCATTCTGAGCACAGTGGAGCACCTGTTGTATTGTAAAAGGAGTTCACAATCAAGATTATCAGCACTCTGCACCATATTTTCATTTATTGGGACTGATTCATTTATTTTGTTTATTACTTTATTGTTTATGTTGTATTTTGCACTATTTATGCGCGGCCCATATGGTTATTTATTTATTAGTTTGTGTGTATATGTCCACAATTTAGGACTGCTGCAAATGATTATTGGAATTTGACACATCCACAAGTGCATTAGCACCCCCTTTTTTTCACATTAAATATATATGTACTGTCTTCTCCTTCAACACAGAAGCATGAAAAGGATCTGAATTTCACTGCAGCATCACACAACATATTGGATCTATCATTTAAACTAAATGTCCTGCTCAAGTATTAAATCTATGTTCCCCTGAGCTACCAAAGTTATACCCTACGTCTAAATGCTTCCTTGAGCTGCCATAGCTATATGACAAACTCTACTCACGCCCCTGAATTACCAAAGCTATACCCCACAGCAATACAGCCTTAACACCTTGGTTGCACCTTATCTGCTTCCAAAGTCTCCGCTGCACTTCCACTGCACCCACAGACTCTGTTGCACCTCAGTTACTCTCAAAGCCTCCACAGCACCCATAGTCTCAGCCTTTGCTGTACTTCTGCTACATCCACAGTCTTGGCTGTATCTCTGCTGCACCCGCAGCCTTCACTGCACCTCAGCTGCACCATCTTTGAACTCTCAGTCTCTGCTGTATTCAGTTCGAACCTCTTCTGAATCATCTCTGCATCCACAGTAGTTTTCACTGCATCCACAGTCTGAACCTCTTCTGTGCCATCTCTACACTGACAGTGTCCACGGCATCCACAGTTTGAACCTCCACTGCACATCAATCCACTCTCAGCCTTAAAGTGATATTAAAGTCAATTAAAAGAAAATAACAAAATGTCATACTTACCTGCTCTGTGCAGTGGTTTTGCATGGAGCAGCCCGATCCTCCTCTTTTCAAGTCCCCTGATGGTGCTCCTGGCCCCTCCCTCCTGCTGCATTTCCCCAGAGCAAGCAGTTTGCTATGGGGGCACCCAAGCAGGCTCATTCCCATGGCGTTGCTCTGCATGTCTATTCATACACAATGCCGCAGCTTGGCCCCGTCCCTCACTCTCCTCATTGGCTCACTGCTGCTGTCCCAGCCAATGAGGAGAGTGAGTCCCCAGAGAGCCAAGGCTCTCGTGCACATTGCTAGATTGCGATGGAGCTCAGGTAAGTTTTAGGGGTAGAATGCATGAAAATAAAAAACCTTGATCCTTTAAGCCTCACTCCTGTTTCTATCTAACCAGTGCCTTGTGCCTCTCTCCCATTCCAGTTACTGGTTACCTGGTACCTTCCCCTCAATGCATTTGCAAGTCTATTATTTGACCTGAGGGAAGCCAGCAGCTAAGTCCACTCAGTGAAAGAAGCTGCAAAAAGGAGCAGGGTCCTCATCTTGTGACAGTCGGAAATTTAACTTTGCTTAGGTTAAAGGCTAACAATAACCTTTCTGACCATCTTACACGTTACACCCATATTTAGGGTATAACATATACCGTATTTTTAGCTCCATAAGACGCACCTAGGTTTTAGAGGAGGAAAACAAGAAAAAAAATATTCTGCACCAATGGACTGCAGGCATAGTACAGGAGATGACCAGAGACTGCGGACATAGTACAGGAGATGACCAGAGACTGTGGACATAGTACAGGAAATAACCAGGGACTGCAGATGTACTACAGGAGATAACCAGAGACTGAAGACATACTACAGGAGATGACCAGAGACTGCGGACATATTACAGGAGATGACCAGGGACTGCGGACAGAGTACAGGAGATGACCAGAGACTGCGGACGGACATAGTACAGGAAATGACCAGAGACTGCAGACATAGTACAGGAGATTACCAGAGACTGCGGATGTACTACAAGAGACAACCAGAGACTGCAGACATAGTACAGGAAATGACCAGAGACTGCGGACATAGTACAGATGACCAGAGACTGTGGACATAGTACAGGAGATGACCAGAGACTGCAGACAAAGTACAGGAGATGACCAGAGACTGCGGACATACTACAGGAGATGACATGAGACTGCGGGCATACTATAGGAGATGACCAGAAACTGCGGACATAGTACAGGAGAGGACCAGAGACTGCGGACATAGTACAGGAGATGACCAGAGACTGTGGACATAGTACAGGAAATAACCAGGGACTGCAGATGTACTACAGGAGATAACCAGAGACTGAAGACATACTACAGGAGATGACCAGAAACTGCGGACATATTACAGGAGATGACCAGGGACTGCGGACAGAGTACAGGAGATGACCAGAGACTGCGGACATATTACAGGAGATGACCTGGGACTGAGAACAGAGTACACGAGATGACCAGAGACTGCGGACATAGTACAGGAAATGACCAGAGACTGCAGACATAGTACAGGAGATGACCAGAGACTGCGGATGTACTACAAGAGACAACCAGAGACTGCAGACATAGTACAGGAAATGACCAGAGGCTGCGGACATAGTACAGATGACCAGAGACTGTGGACATAGTACAGGAGATGACCAGAGACTGCAGACAAAGTACAGGAGATGACCAGAGACTGCGGACATACTACAGGAGATGACATGAGACTGCGGACATACTACAGGAGATGACCAGAAACTGCGGACATAGTACAGAAGATGACAAGAAACTGTGGATATAGTACAGGAGATGACCAGAGACTGCTTACATAGTACAGGAGATGGCCAGAGACTGCTTATATAGTACAGGAGATGACCTGAGACTGCGGGCATAGTACAGGGGATGACCAGGGACTGCGAACATAGTACAGGGGATGACCAGAGACTGTGGGCATAGTACAGGGGATGACCAGAGACTGCGGACATAGTATAGGAGATGACCAGAAACTGCGGACATAGTACAGAAGATGACAAGAAACTGGATATAGTACAGGAGATGACCAGAGACTGCTTACATAGTACAGGAGATGACCAGAGACTGCTTATATAGTACAGGAGATGACCAGAGACTGCGGGCATAGTACAGGGGATGACCAGAGACTGCGAACATACTACAGGAGATGACCAGAGACTGCGGACATACTACAGGAGATGACAAGAGACTGTGGATATAGTACAGGAGATGACCAGAGACTGCTTACATAGTACAGGAGATGACCAGAGACTGCGGGCATAGTACAGGTGATGACCAGAGACTGTGGGCATAGTACAGCAGATGACCAGAGAGTGCGAACATAGTATAGGAGATGACCAGAGACTGCAGACATAGTACAGGGGATGACCAGAGACTGGAGACCTTTGGGGAACGGAAGGGGGAGGAGAAGGTACCCGAATTTGACAGGTACCCGCTCCCACTTCTGAGGAGTTTTCCTTCCCCCTCCCTCCCCGTAGTCTTCTGGGACATGTGATAGGTCCCAGAAGACTACAGGGTCATTCACACAGCGCAGCGCTTATCGCGCATGTGCAGTGGGCACCCGGCCGTGAAGCTGCAAGCTGTCACAGTAGAGTGTCCACACTAAAGATGCCGGCGCCGGGGAGAGAAGACGGTGAGGACACCTCTGGACTGAGGAACAGGTAGGACCACTGGAGGTCTGCAGGTTCTGCTGCACAGAAGAGCCGAGCAGTCGGCCTGATATTCTAACACGGCGACGGGGGGAATACCGGGCCGGCCGCTCCATATTCACTCCATAAGACGCACAGACATTTCCCCCCCATTTTGGGGTGAAAAAAATGCATCTTATGGAGTGAAAAATACAGTAACTTGGTGCCAATATACTTCAAAATTGTGTTTGCCTTTTAACATTCAATTTCTGAATGAATGCAATTTCCTGAATGCAAATCGCATTCACTGTTTGAAATGAATTAAAAATAGAAATTTTCCATCCTACTTAAGAAAACTACATTTTCTTGTCACTGCAGTCAAAAACTAACAGAAGTTTGACCCCACTAACAATTAGGTAGGTAAATACAGGTAAAAGAATCTACTAGATTCCCTAGAATGCCAGATTTCTCCTTATAAGTATGAACTTACACCAAAGTATGTGAGGGGTGTATCCTACATGTGGCTAAAGTAACTTTGCATGTTTCTACATGATTTAAATGAAATTGAAAGTGTATAGAAGTCATAAAATAAGTTTTTTTTTGTCAGTAAAATTATATAGCCAGATTTTTTTCTCTGCTGATAATCATCCTGGCAAATTATTCTTAACAAAAAATGTGGTGGCTGAAAAAAATCAACCACCACCCTTAATTGTCTATATGATATGTATTTAGAAATAGTTTTTAGAGGGGTGGAGGAGATCTCTATGAGCTCCATATGTGAGAACTCACAGAAGAACTGTATAAAAGGCTGACATGCAGTTAAAACCATTGACATCTACCTGAAGTGAAACTGAAATGGCTGTTATGCATAGACATCCATTAACAAAGCCTGAAATCTCAATTTGTCTGACAACTGTCATACCTGCATTAGCTGCTGTGCTTGACAAACCATTTACAGTCCATTGTACTTGACAATCAGCATGAACACATTATTCCATATGCTTAAGACTAGCTAAAAACTGTGATAGAGTATTTCTGTGCATGGCTCCCCATGTTTTATATACTCTATCCCTGACAACTGTCCCGTTAAGTGATATTTATCTAATGTTACCATCATTATTTATAAGAAGTATCATTATTTATAAGAAGTTGTATTACAGTTGGACTAGACTGTAAACTAATTTATTTTATTTTCCAATGAAACAGTGGGACACTTGCACGCCATGGATAATCTATTCAAATAAAGCAAACTCGGTCCAGAGAAATGTAATCCACTTGGGTCATTAGGTCATCAATGACAGAATTATATAACAGTAAAATCATTTAGTAAACATCGAAAATATTAGTTGCTTTCCTTTAGGCTACACATGGAATGAAATGGGCTCTAGTAAATATTTTCTGGCTTATTTCCACTATAATCTGAATTAATGATGCTACTAAAGTATTACTTTGCAAGTAAAATATAAAAAGGCTATAAAATGAAGAATTTTAATATTTGCGCTATATTGAAGTAGTGCTCAAGTAAGGGATTTTCAGACACTGCATCCCCTGCAGAAATGCAAACAATAAAAGTGTTTTACTACTTTAATTATGTTTAGGGATTTGGAGAAGTTACTCCACATAAACATAATCATGAGTGATTGGACCTGCACAGGGTGAATGAGTTATACACAATCAATGCATATAGGAAACTCATATCTTTAAAGTGTATTACAATTGTCCCTACTCATGTTAATCATAATATTCAGCTATTCATATATACACTTTTAAAATGTAAAATTTTTAAAGTTTTGTATAATGTGGGGAAAAAGGTGAATCTGTTGTCAGTATGTTCAAGATATGATATTTTTTTCATAATTCCCAGAGCATTTCTGTAAGCTGAACATTCTCTTTTTCCTATTTGGAAAGCAGCAGAAATTGCTGAACTTTCTGTTTTCCTTCTTTCGAGTCCATTCTTTCTATACTTTCTTTTAGAATCCACTAGGTCTAGGTGACAGTGCCACTGGCTGATAGCTACAGTATACTGTGTATTAAAAATACATTCCATTGAGTGAAAACAGTGAATTCAGCTCAGAACAATGTCCTGGATAATAGTGGAACAAAAACAAGGAAAAATCTTGTCAATGGGGACACAAATGGCATTAAACCCTAAAAGACGGCCAAACCCTTCCCCATTCAATTCAACACTAAAAAAAAAAAAAACAGTTTTGGGCTACTACTTTAATAGCGTTCTTTAACGTTTATAGGCATCTTAAGGGGCAGATTTTGTCGATGAAACAATGAAGCCACACAATTTTGTCTGGCATTCACTGTTATGTGACAATGGCCACCCGTGAGCACAGAACAGTAATGAGCCATTGTGATAACTGTTAATAACATATAGGTCCCATCCACAGTGAAGCACACTAGAGCATCATATCAGGGCACAAATGCACCAGTGATGGTCATCAAGGGCTTAAGTTAAGATACAATCACTACTTTTAACAAAGAACTTCAGGAAATTTGTATCTTACCTTTTAGCCCTTGAAGACCAATGATGGTCTTCAAGGGCTTAAGTTAAGATACAAGTACTATTTTTAACAAAAAACTTCAGGGTAATGTATAGAGTCAAACTCCATGCTATTGTATAAAAACAGCCTTTAGTTCCCTTTTTTAGTCCCCAGTTTCTATCAAAGCTATGAAAATAGCCACATGCTGTATAAAACCAAGTATGTGTTGGAAATGCCAGCTCTGTAAGATCGTAGACAGAAAAAGGAGGAGCTTTTTAATGTCTTACCAGTTCTCCTTTTTCTCCATGTGGTCCAGGAGGTCCTCGTTCTCCCTGCATGCCCTTTTAATAGAAAAAAAATTGTTAGATTGGATCATTACATTACACTGGGAGCAAACACCAGACACCACTTCTGCTCTGGGGCCCATTTCCCAGTGTTTAGAGCTGAAGCAATACTTACCCTATCTGTCATATAGTAAGATGAATATTGTTTACCATTAAATTAATACCTTCTTTTAATACAAGCACTTACATCAAGCCGTAGATCAAAAATGCCTCCAATATGCCAAGTATACATTTTTAAATGTTAATGCATTGTGTAGACTGTTCCTTTAGATGGTAGTTGATTTTGTCAGTGATCCAGAATCCTGCTGATTAATTGTAGAAGCCAAATACTACAACAGAATCTAAGCTAACTGTGGGTTACAGAGGTAAGACATTAGACATAACCCAGGAGGCAATGCGACAGTTTCACAAATGAATTAAATACAACAAAAGGAGTTGGAATGCCACCTGTTATAGTGACAGATGGATGGAGGGATGTGTATCAGGCTGCAGCTACTTATGCTCAGGTACAACTTATTTTTTTAATCTAAATTCTCTGGTGATTAGTACCTAAAATATGAATACATATTAATTTAATAATGTTCTTGGGTTACTAACAACAGATTTGTTTCTTGATCATATTCCGCTACAAGTATCAGAACAGAACATGTGCTAATTTTAGCAACTCCAAAATCTTTGGAAAACTCTTTTTACAATTTCTTTATATAAATTCTACAGTTTTAGTAATGCTAGTAGCCACAGCCATTAGCAAAACAAGTTTGCTTGACACAGACCCCTACAGCAAAGAAAAAGTAACACCAAAGCGGGCAGGGTAGATGGGACCCGCTCACCAAAACATATACAAAACACAGCTAGGTTAGACCGGACAGTGTGGAATGTGTGACTAGACAAGAAGGGGTTCACACAGAAAACATAAGGACAGAATGGTCACTTAGATTATGAGAGTGATTCAACACATGACACAGTGATGTAAGTTCGTAATAACAGCTCCGATATGATATGAAACAAACTTCTTAGTCATAATATTTCTTAGAAAGTTAGGCGCTGAGACAATGGTAAGCTGTAAAATTATCAAACTACTATAGTTCCTTCAGTTTCTACAGATCTGATATATTCCAAATTTTCTGTGTAATTCTGGATTTTGCCAGTACCTGTAGATTAGATTTATTATTTTCTTCATACTTTGTCACTATGCCCCAAAGAAATAATAAAGTTACCTTCATGGTCTAAATAAGCTTCATATTACATGAGCACTTTTGATTCATATCTATAGGAGTCTGAGCTGTGTAGAGTCCTAGTCTATGTATAGATTTTTAGATTCTGCACACTTTTATTCTCTTATTAAAGTAGATTAGTAAAGCAAATTTTTTTTTTCATTTTGGATAGAGTAAGGGAGGGTTATATCCCCTGTCAGTTTTTTTCCCCCATATATGTCCCATTGGGGAGATTACCCGTCCCATAGCCAAAATAGGAAGTGAAAGGAAATTCAACCAAAGTGAGGGAATCCCCATTCGCAGATTTCCCATTATTGGAATGCAATGTTCATGTATTCTGTGTGAAAATAACTACATCAGTATGTGTAATACGTAGAGATATATTCTTCAACCAGGAGTTGACAGTGATTATATATTTGTAGCTGATCTCTGTGGTAAACTCCATGTCTTTTCTCTATAATAAAAGTTCCTGTTTCCTGTTTGCAGAGAAGCAGCAGATAAACACATGTTGACTGTGCACTGTCTGTCCTGTAGGGCTATAACACAGAATTTCTAACAGCCCAGACACCCAGTCATAGCGTGCTACAGCAAAAGAAGTGCAAGATACTGCAACAGAAAGGAGACTGCAACCGAATAAAAGAAAATGGCCAGTAACACAGGTGCAACATTGATTTTAATTGCAAAACTGACACACCAGAACTACTAATCTTGAAAATTCAAGATGAAAATGTTGCTAAAAAGAGAAGGTACGTGGTAAACATGTGAATGTTTTGTTTGCAAGAAACAAAGTCATTTAAAAGCAGATTGCAGAATCTGGAAAGCTAGAATGCTAAAGATTTTAACTAAACTCCTTACCCTCAGACTCCAAAGTTTGTTACCTACGATCATAGATCCAGACCAAACTGGCTTTATGGCCCATAAAGCTACTGACATAAATGACCGCAGATTGTTTACAAATCTTCATGCTCAACACGGGGTAACATGGGCTCCAGAGTGGTGGCCTCACTTGATATAGAAGAGGCCTTTGACACAGTGGAATGGCAATTCCTCTGGGAAGTACTTAGGAGAATGGGGTTTCCACTCCTGTTTATTAACTGGTTGAAGGTCCTTTATGGAAACCCAACGGCTTCTGTTAAGCTGGGAGGATGACTATCTGCCCCCTTTGATTTTTACAGAGGCATACAGCAGTGCTGCCCTCTCTCTCCGGATCTTTTTGCTCTAGCCATTGAACGCTTTGCTCTTCCATTGATGTTAAGGGGTTTCCGGATTGGCTGGTTGGAAGAGGGGGTAGCCCTGTACGCAGACGACCTTTTGATATTTCTCACTGATGCAGTTCCTTCATTACAATTTGCACTTGGAAGTTTGAACTCCTAATCACTAGCTACAGGTTTCAGAGTGAATTGGACAAAATCCTTGTTATTTTCGATAGACCCTGATGTGAAACGTACGGCTTCACCTGACACATTACTTCAAGGGGTGACACATTACTTCAAGGGGTTGAGGAATTTACCTATCTGGGAGTAACCATTTCTTGCAGCACCTCTGATTTTCTTTCCCTCAATCTGCATCCAGGCAGTTAAGCTAAAGCTGAAGGCATTGGAGAATCTGCTACTATCCCTATTAGGCTGCAAAAAAATGATAAAAATTAAAATCTTCCCTAAATTCACATACTTGTTTAGAAACTCCAGGCAGTTAAGCTAAAGCTGAAGGCATTGGAGAATCTGCTACTGTCCCTATTAGGCTGCAAAAACATGATAAAAATGAAAATCTTCCCTAAATTCACATACTTGTTTAGAAACTCCCCACAGTGAATACCTAAGTCCTTTTTTACACAACTACATCATCTTTTATTCCCTTTCTTGTGGGGTCCTCAAACTACAAGATATAAGTTATCCACCCTTATGTGTCTCCAATCCCAAGGGGGCCTAGCCATGCTGGACTGCTAAAAATACTTTTTGGCCACCCAACTAGTTACTGGTGCCTGGTGGCTCAATCCCGACAAGACCAACTCATCTACTATGCCAGAGACAGCAGTAGTGCACTCCTTGGAGGCTCTCAAATTTCTTCTATTCAGGGGCCCCCAGGCCCCCTACACCTTAAACCCCTCCATGGTTACTACTCTTCAAGCTTGGAGAGTGGGCCTAGCATGTGAACACTTTACCAAACTTGCTGTGTCACCGAATGCCCCACTATGGCTTAACCCCTCCTTGCCACACTTTTACTACCAGATCCAGGAGCCTGGGCCAAATGCAAGATCAAGATGATTTCCCAGGTGGTACTTAATGGTAACCTGAAATCCTCTGACTTTAATGTGCCCACCACATTTTTTTTTACCAAAGGATGGAGCTCTCCCATGCCTTCCATGCTCAATTTCGTAGGGCTCCACCTGTCCTACTCCAGTATGACTTAGAACAGATTGTCCCAAAAAAACCTACCTCTCATTTATCTGCCTATCTTGTGTCAGTGTCCCTTCCTGCACTGGAGGGCCTCTGAGGTCGGTGGCTGGGGACATTCCAGACATGGATACCGCCAATTGTGACAACTTCTGGGACCTTCTGGGACCCCTAGCCTCATTGCAAGATCGGCTCACAGAATTCAAGATTGCTCACAGGTCCTACTACACACCATATAGACTCCACAAAATGAATCCATCTCATCCTCAGGAGTGTTGGAGGTGTGGCCACTCCCTGAGAGATTTCTCCCATATTTTCTGGAATTGTCCCTCAGTCTCCTGATTCTGGGAGGAGGTCATGGCACTAATTAACAAACTGACGTCCATCCCTTTGAGACCTACCATGTTACCCTGTTTATTAGGCCTAGTTGAATATCTAATTCCCACAATTGCAGAGAGGACCCTAGTTAGTCTTCTACTTTTCTATGTCAGAAAGGCCATCACCTTACACTGGAAAAAGTCCATCCCCCAACTATCTCCTTTTGAAAACAATAAAAATACATATATAAACAGAGGCTGCCCTAAGAAATATAACGGTATAGTCCAAATGGCTTGCAGAGCCTACTATGGCTGCTTCTTAGCTTCTACTAGAACTTCATCATGATTTCTTTACTGTATGTGAATTTTCCTGGGTATGTTGATATCCACTTGGATGATTGGATGATTTAATCCACATTGTGATCTGCACTACATATACTTACTACTCTCTATGAGACCTTAGGGACAACAGCTTAAGTGTTCAAGTGTATGCCTCACTTGTTAACTATAAAAATTATTGTTATTCCATGATGCCCCTTCGTGGGCTTACACTTGTGCGTTGCTTGTCTGTTACTGTTTACTAAAAATAATGAACAGAATTAGAAAAAAAAAATCTAAAAAAGGCCAAAAGTGTGAAGGAATTAATGGATTTTTCTTTAGTTAATGAATATGTTTTTCAATCCGAAAGTACCTCATCTTTCCAGGCATGGTGTGTTGAATAAGAAGCTACATGACAAATGCCAAAAAATTTTTATTCACTTTGACCAGAATAAAACAGAAAAAAATCACCACAGCAAACAATGGAATCAGAAGAAATAAGAGACAGTTTTCTTTACTGTCTTATTTCCCAGAGTGTCACCAGAAATATACCTGTGAAAAATGTCCTGTTCTTGAAACTAATCTTTTGTCATTGATGAACTGTATCACATGAGGTGGTTAATACTGCCAAGGAGGAAATACATTCAAACTGCATTCACATGTGGCAGAGATGACTTGGGTACAGAAGTCCTGACATAATAAATAAATGAACTGAGAATGACTATGCAAGTGGAATAAAAAATTAGTTCATGTGATCAAACAATGAAATGCACCAGCTGTATAAAAGGAAATATGACAAGAAAAAGCCTTTCCAAAGCAGAGTAACAGCACAGCTAAAAAACCTCATTCAGATCTTTGCGGTTCAATGGAAAAATTGACTCCAGGAAAGAAGAGGCATTTTCTCAGTTTTATAGTTGATTATACCAGGTATACTAGACTATATCTGTTACACAAGAAAAGTGAAGTACCAGAGAAACTTGAGCAGTATTTTGCGCACAATGGAACTGAATGTATAGGTGATAACACACAGGTGATTCTCAGAAAGCATGGCATAATATTTCAAACTACTGTATCATACAACCCTGAAGAAAACAGGGTTGCAGAAAGAATGAACCGTACTCTATGTGAAAGTGGAAGAACCAACTACATACCATGGGGAGGCAATTATGACCGTATGCTATCTCCAAAAATTGACTACCAGAAAATTCCATATGAACTGTTAAATGGAAAAGCCCTGAATTTGAACCATCTAAAAAATTTTGGAAGCAAAGCCTATGTGCACATCCCAAAAGAAAATTGTACAAAATGGGATGCTTGTGCAAAGGAAGGTGTACTTGTGGGGTACAGTGAATCTCAAAAGGGATACAGAATTCTACACCAAGACACAAACAAGGTAACCATCAGTAGAAAAGTAATTGTCAATGAATCTTCAGTGTGTTCAAAATTCCATGAACTAATACAAACACTTAAAACTTCACATTTCACATTAGTGTCACATGAAGAGAAGCAACAAAGTGACACAGAACTCACATTTCACATCAGTGTCACATGATGATAAGCAACAAAGTGATACAGATATAGAAATTAACACAGACAATCCAAATACTGTAAAAGAAGAAACCAGAGCACAAGAGGCTTGACTCGGGAAATCCACCAGAAGCAATAAAGGCATCCCAGCCAAATGTCTGTCCTATGTTGCTCGTGTACCATTCCAACCCATGCAAAACAAAAGAGGATCAGATGCTCTGACACAACTGCTTACAAGAAACAGATTTATAGAAGCAATAAAGGCATTCCAGCCAAATGTGTGTCCTATGTTGCTTGCGTAACATTCCAACCCAAAAGAGGATCAGATGTTTTGACACAACGGCTTACAAGAAACAGATTTATAGAAATGAGATTCAAAATGGAACTAACATGAAGAGTAGTTGTTAAATGGGGGTGTTGGAATACAATGCTCATGTATTTTGTGTGCAACAGCCACATCAATATCAGTATTAAATAGAGATATATTCTTCAAGCAGTAGATAGAAGTGTTTATGAGTTTGTAGTTGATCACTGTAGTAAACTCTAGAAGCATCAGATAAATCTGAAGAATATATTTACAAAAAATATATTTTTAAAAATATATTTTTTTTCAATATATTCTTCAGATTTTTTTTTAACATATATTTTTTACATATAATTGTAAATGCATTCCAAAAATGTAGATTTTTATTTGTAAAGACATACAGTATATTTGAAATGTATTTTTAAAAATATTTTTCATATATGTTGTAATAAAAACGCAATTCAACATGCAGTGTGTGTGTATATATATATATATATATATATATATATATATATATATATATATATAAAAAAAATATTGAATATGGCCAAAATTGTAGTATTTTAAATATATGGCAATATATTTCGGAAGAATATTTTTAACATATATTTCAAATATATTTTTCTGCCATGTGGGTTAGTAACACTTTAATGATAACAGTGAACAGGACAGATACAGTGAATCTCCTAATGGGGACACAGACAGCAAGGAAAACTGACAAACTGACAGTTGCTCTAATCACTTTCTACTCTATCCAAAACTAAGAAAAAGTTTTGCCTTTCATTATACTTTAAAGGGTAACTACAGTCCAAACCTTTTTTAGATAGAGTAGGGAAGGCTCAGAATGGCTCTTTTCCCTGTCTCTCTTGGAGAGTTTCTCTCACTTTCTGTCTCAGTAATACAAAGTCACAAGGACAGAAAATTAGTGAAAGTTTCCCTAGTTGGACCACAGAGAGCAGTGAAAGCTGACAGAGGTTCTAAGTCTTCCTTATGCTACCCAAACTAAAAAAAATGTCTGGGTTGGAGACCCACAATTTATTGAGAATTTCTAGTTCAATGATCCTGAGAGACAAAATTAAAGATCCCCCCCCCCCCCACCACTACCATCAGCTATTTCATTTTCTGTCTAGAATGCCAAATTTCTCCTGCAGTGTCCTTCAGAAGAAACCACTATATCCATACCAGTGTTACTGTGAAAAATGTTATACCTGTATGGATGGGTGTAGTCCACCAAGATAAAGTTAAGAACAAAAAAAACGAAGTTTCCAAGTTTACTTGGAACTTACTACACTAATAAGGGGAGGGGTTATTGTTATAAGCCATGGTCAGTTTTTCAATTATAGTGGATGGGCTGTAAAAGCAAAGGGCATATTGATAAAGCAGTTAATCTGACATTCACCAAACATTCACTGCAAGCAAATCTTCCTGGTGCATGTGATTTAGACGACAGTGACTGATTTACCATCAGTATATGTGGGGTTAAAGTCACATTCCCTACTTTGTAATAATTCTATATTTTTTTTATAAAGCTTTTTCTAATGTAAGCCATTCAAATTTTTTGGTCTTTTTTGTATGATTTATTGAATCAGTAGTTTTTGGTGCCGTGATCTTGGTGCTTCAGTACAGTACTAATAGTTTAGACACTCAGCAGAGAAAGCAGTGGTTTAGGGTACGAGATTAGAAATAAGGGTAAGGATTAGAGGGTTAAGGTTTGGATTTATGGTGTAGTTTGATGGTTGACTTCTAGTGTTATGTTACCTGCTTGTGTTAGGTTAAGGGTTCATTCACACCTTCAAATGCACTCTGCCTCTGATTAGGTGTGAGAACTCCAGCAGGGGTTTCTGCAATTAGCTGTGAGAGGCAGTCCCTTTGAAAGCAATGGGAGGCTGCCGACTCTCACAGCCAATCAATCCAAGGCCAATCATTTGCTTTGCTCATAGCATAAGCGATTGTATGTGAGTAGCCATGATTAGCTGTGAGAGACGGCAGCCTCCCATAGCTTTCAATGGTGCTATCTCCTGCAGCTAATCGCAGGAACACCCGCCGGGGTTCTTGCATCTAATTGGAGGCAGGGTGCATTTGCACCCTAAGTGTTAAGTGATAATGTTAAGGGTAAGTTCCCACTACAGTTATGGTAAGTGTTAGGATTAGGGTTTTCAGCACTGAAAATCCCATGCCAAGAACAAACAATACCAGGTTCCCTGCCCAAAAAACCTAACACTAACATTTATTGGCTATATCTCTTCAAGTTTATGTACCTCTAAATAGACTAAGTAATGTGGGAAGGTAATATGTTTGAAAAGTTAGAATCAGGGGTCAGCTTTAGAAAGATTTTAGAAATAGAAGGTGGGAATCTAGATACACATAGCTGGAGGTTGTCTCACAAGTGATAAGACTTAGGGCACACAAGGGGTGAGATCTGAAGTTACATCAGGTGTGGCACAAGAGGTAGGTTTTTGGCACAGCGCTGGTGAAGTTATGTGACACATGGGGTTGAGGGTAAGGGGATCATTAAAGCAAGTAGCTGGGAGGAGGGTTACATTCTTACAGGTAATCCGGGGGAGCCAGGAGAGCCTGGAAAACCTGAGGGCCCCTGAGGGAAAAAATAGGGGTATCAAAATCCAAGACCCAATGCCAGTAGGATGAGGAATAAGAACACCCAGAGTAAGACAACCTGACCCTCTGGAGAAAGCAGCATCAACAACATTATTAATATTGTTAGATCACATTTTACATTTTGTTAAATTTTTCACAAAAAAAGACAAAACGTTTTGTAAAAAAAAAAAATCTGACAAAACATGTTCTTTTGCTTTTTTATATAAATTAACAGAATTTATTATTTTCCAATATTGTAGGTGAATATTGAGAATGTCAGTTACGTTTGTAAAAAAGCATTATTATGTTCTAGTCATGAGGCACCTTAGGATCCAGATGCATATAATGGTATACCATATACCATAGATGAAAATTGTTGGTGGTTGGTTAAATACAATTGTCATCAAGGAAGGGTCTGAAAGTTACCTTATGACATTAGTTCACTGGATCAGTTCTAATTGGGCATACAAAATACTATGAAATCATTACTTTTACTTGACAGAGTTTTTTTCAAGCCAGCATTGTTCATCATAAATAGGGCAAAGGCCTGATTTAGAATTAATGTTTTCCATTGTTCTTATTCTTAAAGACATTAGGGAGGAAACAGGTACTTACAATTGGTCCAGGGGGGCCAGGAAATCCTCTTGGTCCTGGAGGCCCCTGTAATGATAAAGGAACAAATGATACTGATAAATCACTAGAAAAACGTGGTTTTCAAAGGACAAATCGTTCTTTTTACCTCTTCTCCTTTCAGTCCAGGCAATCCTGGGTGACCTGGTCCACCTTCACAACCAGGATCAGGTTCGTCTCCCTAAAAGATGTGAAAGTTTGGGAAGAGAGTTGAGGGCTATTATCAAGGACTATGCCATATGCAGAGGACCACAACAGCTGTAGCTCAGAAAATTACTTACAATTTCTTCTGCCTTTTCCAGTCGACACTAAAAAGAGGGGAAAGAAAAAGGACACAGGTAAGAATTTCCATAGCAAGAAGAAGAAGTAATAACAACACACTGCAAAATGGGATATATTGGATTAATAAACATTGGGGAGCAGTTTCAGCACAAAATAACCTAAAATCCTAAAATAATAGGATTATTGCAGACATTTGTTCCGCACTGTGCTGGAAAAGAGAATTAGTAAAGATGACAGGACAAACACATAAATTGCAACTCATATGCTGTAGTTGTTTCCCCCAATTATTTACACTGTTATTTGTGTTCATTATATTCACATAAACTTTTCGACAGCACACATATTTTAAATAGGAGTGAGAACATGAGGAAAGACAAAAAAGTTTTTGCTGTGTTGCAGTGTTAGATAGTTCAACATATAGATAATTTATCGTAGCAAAAAGACATATAATATTCACACTTACTGACACTATACTGTTGCAGCAACACACCATATTTTCACACAACCTCACTGCTTTGTCACTCATACACCTTTAGTTCTCATCAATATGCTGTGACCAGGGGCAGACTGACAACTCATGGGGCCCCCGGACAATAGGGGATCATGGGGCCCCTGTGTCCTCGCCCACATTTAAACCACTCCCAAAAAAGCCTATGAAAGGTACCAAGGGCATCTCATGGGGCCCCCTACTGACCCCGGGCCCTCGAGCAGTGCCTGGCGGTGACTAACAGATAAGTAATTATTTGCTATGTTATATTTATTAGAGCTAAAGTTCAATCCTGTTTCTATTTTATAGGACATTATAACGGCATTTAATTTTAACCCCACATGTAAATTGCACTAATTCCCAAAAACTATTAAATATAGCAAAGCACAGGGATAGTCCATATTGTAACATGTTCCCCCATTTTCTGTGATCCGCTGTAAAACCTGGTATCACACTTTGACAACTATCATACGATGCTGAGGAACATTGTTAACTGAAAACTGTTTGGTATCCACACATATAACTTGAATAATATTTTAGCAGGGCTGGATTATGATAGGGTATCTCAGGTGACCTTATAAAACAATGGGCGAACATAACTAGATCTTTGGTCTGTATGAACTCTAAATTCCATTGTTCTGAAGACATTGGGGTTGATTTACTGAAGGCAAATAGGCTGTTTACTTTGCAAAGTTTACGTAGGAATTGTCCCCAGAGCTCAGTAAAAATGGTGACATTTCACAAAGAATTCCCAATCACTTGCAACGAAAATACAAAACAGCATTTTGGCTTGCCCTTGAGTGGATGATGGAAGTAAGCAGAGCTTTGCCTCATTTACTACGTTGTGGAGAAAATTCCCTTGCAAAGTGACCTGTCTTTTTGCCTTTAGTAACCAATCCCATAAGGAGTGATGCCATAGTTCCATGCAGTCTTGGCAAATGCCAAGCATGCATGTATATGGAGTGGGAAAAATAAGTCTAGCAATGCCTAGACTGTTAACTAACAAATAAAACATGTTAAAAAAACACAGGAAATCTGAGTACATAGCCCAACATTTGTAGTAACAACTGGAAGGCAAAATAAATTAATTTTATCTATAATTAGACAATTTCTTGAAAGCTTTCTGGGTACAATGACCAGTCACACGAGGGAGGGATTTACTAAAACTGGAGCACTGAATCTGCTGCAGCTGTAGGTAATCATCTTCTAACTTGTTCAATTAAACTTTGACGAGAAAACCTGGAATCTGATTGGTTTCTATGCAGAGTTGCACCAGATTTATCACTCTTCAGTTTTAAATCTCACCCAGCTGACTGATGTGCTAATGTTCCATTAAATAATAAAACAAACCCACAAAACTGAGTAATTGGTGCCCAACCATTCTTAAACACTAGACTGTTGCCTAGTCATTCACACAATATATTTTTTCAGCTGACAGTAAAGTCATTCATATTTTCTCTCAGATCCAAAGAGCACATGCAGAATAACGCAACAACACATTAAACTCCAAAATGGAACTAATGAAATTCACACAGTTGTATTTTCATACCCTCTCACAGTCCTCTCCTCCAGGAATGCCAGGCTGTCCTTGCTCTCCCTTCTCTCCTTTCATGGCGCTGGGATTGTTCTGCACATTGGCACAGTCCCCACAAATACTCTGTATGAAGCAGGGTATATCAGATAAACTAGTTCACCCCCAACAAAGTGGCTGGTCCATTGTTCCAAGGATTTCCCACTAGACACATAAACTTCAAAAATAGGCCACTAAAATAAATTAAACCTTTGATGCAGTCCCACAATCCTTTTAGTCATTCCCTATGACATCCTCACCTTCAGGACATCAATGTTTCGTTCTGCAGCCAGGGGTCCCTGAAAAAAAGAGAATGTGGGTGTTAGAGAACAGTCAGAAAGACGTAGGAAACATGGGACACACACAACTGCACAGGGACCCTGCAAAGCGAAGTGACAACATGGAGACACCAGAAAAAGGATGGGAAGGTGTGCACATATTATAGCTGCCCTACTTCCTCTATTTGACAAGGATTAGGGTTACATGTAAAGAGCGTGGCACTAACACATAGCAGAAGCACACCAGCGCTCTATACCTACCAGTTCTCCTGGCACTCCAGGTGGTCCTGGCATACCATTGTGTCCGGGCAAACCCTACAGTCAAGGAAAAAATCTGGGGCTAAAGCATATGCTAGAGTCTCCATCATTTGCACTGTGTGTTTCTTGCACGCACTTATTACACTATCAATACCAACAATTTAGTGCTAACAGGACACACAGCACAGAAATGAAGGCTACTCAGCTCCTAGGCGATATCTGACTACTATTATCTAGTATATATCTTATCTGAATAATTGTATTCACTGCAGGTACTCTCCCTTCTTGATCTCTGTACTGTTTCAGAGCTCGTTTGTCATAGACTGGAACAACACATGTTAAAATAAGACTGATTAATTGTACATATACAAGAGTTTGACCCAATCCTAGATCTCCAGCTATGCTATGCTATTCTGCTGCTGTCCATTGACCACTTTTATGATGCTATAGGTTTTTCATGTGCTCATTTGGTCTAAAGTAGGGTAAATTCTTAACACAGCAAAACTGGACTGCACAGTCAGGTTTGATTGATTTCAGTTGCATTCCTGGAAACAGCAATAGACCGAATTGATCAATAGGTTGTGAGCAAACATTTATGGCTTTGTGTATTGTTGCAAATATCTATATTCAATTTACTCTCTAAGTGCAAGAACATATCTATACCTAAAAAGGAAGCATCTATTGCTTGCAGTAACTTCAACTTAAACTGGTGTTCAAGAAATACAAATGCTTGTTTCTCTTTGCCCACATTTCTAATTTTTCATACTAGCAAGGTGTGCAATCTACAAGGGATCATCAAAAAGTTCCCACACTTTTTAAACATATATATATGTATAAATTTGCAGATGCTTTTTAAAGACTCCTCGTATAAACATTCCTTTTCACTGTTTCCAGTAACTGTTAAGTTTGATGAAACTGAACTTCCCTAAAAGAAATAAGTGCAGAAAACAATATTCACATTCAAGTGCAAGCACAACTGATCAGTATACACCTTCTGTTTATACCTTCAAAGTACTCCTAGCCCTCCAAATCCTAAATTCAAATACTGGCTTTCTAAAAAGTGACAACCATCATCAACAATCAGGTTTCTGTGGCACTGGTACTGGACTAGTAGACATGGGGGTGGCATGCCAAATGTTTGACCTTTAAAAAGTCAGTATTTGCATATGGAGTTTGTGGTGCTTTGGGGGCATAGTTAATGTGCAAAATAAAAAGCCCGATGATATGCACTTTTAAGTTATCATGCCTGAGCTTGGATGTAAATTTTGTTTTATGAACTATGACTTTGCCTTAAAATATGCTTGTCATAAAAAAAAAAAGAAAAAAAGCTCACAACATTGCCAATGCTTCCTCCAAATATAAAAATGTTCTAAGACTCACCTGTAATACAGTATGTTAGAACATATATCATTAGAATAGCTCCTGCAGTCTGCCTATTCATGTCTCCTCTGTGTTCATTGTGTATATCATTCTGGCTGGGGAGACGGTGCTAATAACAAGTTTATTATGCTTAAACATTTTCACTCTGAAAGTGAAGAAGGATTTTCTAAGAGCATATAAGGAGAATTAAGAATACGGCTCACCTGGTGACCTGGTAGTCCGGGAGGACCAGGAGGTCCGGGTGGTCCTGGGGGGTCCCTGAAACGGAGGCATCAACAAACAAAAGTAGCTTAGAACTGATAACCTGGGAGGGCACATTGTTTTTGTGTAGTTACCTGCAGCATTTTATTATTATTATTTTTTTTTTTTATAAGATAGCTTTATACCATGCTTTACCTTTAAGCTTTATACCATGCTTTACTTGAAATGTGATCTTCTGAAAGGCATCTTTTCATACGGTGATTTTTATTTGTTGACAGTATACTAACTAAGAGCACAACAATGTATGTCATGTGTGTTGCTGTGCAGTGCAAAAGTATTGGCTGCTACTGTAGTTGTGTGTTTGGGGACCATTCTAAATGAATGGCTCCGAAACTACTAACCAAACAAGCTGTTGTATATTATGGTAATGCATAGGTCTGGACTGGGCCTGAGTCAAAATGCAACTAGAATTGCTGCTAACATCTGTTAGAAATAAGGCATGCAGATGACAAACTTAGACATTTCAAGCAAATGTCAAAAATGCTAGATTAGGTGTACAATTTTGTAACCTGTAGGAATCTTGGCTACATATTATATACAATATAATAATAAGATATTTTTCTTGGGTTCACGTTTTGCCAGTTCTTGAAGAATAAAGACAGAATCTAGAATAAATATAGCTAAACACAAGAGTGGTACATGATGCTCATGTCTGTTTGTTGTATAGGTTTTCAGTAATGGTCTAGCACTGTTTTCTATTCATCCAATCCCTGAGTTTTATCATATCTAATGGCAAGACCGGGGCCCGTGGCTATTATTGTAGAATGTACACTGCAGAATGACAGAGGCAACATTAAATATGATACCATATAATGAGGGGGCACAGGATAATAAAAAAAGGTCCAAATGATCTAATTTTAAAAATGTTTGTACCTTATAACCTATGACTGAATATTTGTTACCCCAGGGAGTAATCCTGTGTGACAATCCCATGCTAATGTACAGCAAGGATAAAGATGCACAGCAGACCTCCTAAACTGTCACAGTTAGAGCCCCTTAGAAGCTCCCATTCAATTACTCTCTTTCAAAATTAGTATATTTATAGGCTAGACAACAGGTCATTCAGGCACCTGGATCTGCACTTTTTGCAGGTGAGGTGGGCAGGATGGTTTACCCCACACCCCAGTTTTCCTTTGGCTAGATTTTTTTTTTTTTTTGGGGGTGGAGCAGTGAGATGTCCAGATTTATCCACATTTTACTAATAGCTATTCCTGGTTTCCTTTAAGTCACTGTGTACATGGAAAAAAACTTGTTTCTGCCATTATGTCCTTTCCAATGAAATAATCAAAAAATATTCCTGCTTACCAAAAGACACCTTCATGTAAGCTGATTATATTTATTTTTAGCAATTATGAATTATAATAGATAAATTATGAATAGCAATTATTCGATATGTGCATTTGTCATTTGTATTAATCTGCTAACATACATGGCAATAATTTATGGTCTTAGGGCCATATATTCATGTCTTCTGAGTTGATGACAGAAAGACAAAAAAGAGAAAAGGTAATTAACATATAAAAAGTCATTGTTAATAGAGATATATTAAGAAACAGAAAACCCAAAACTGACCTGAATTCCATATCGCCAGAAATCACCATTTGATGAATCCTGGAGATCAAAAAAGGTTCAGTGAGCCATTTAAAGATTAGTCACATCCACTTCTAGGGAAGGACGCACTTACCATCCATGGTCCAGGAGGACAGGAACATACTCCACCCTCTCCCTAAAATGAGATTAATATTACATCAAATTCTTCTACTTTGTTCAGTCTGCTAGCCTCTGTACAGTAATAATGTAGTGAAAGTGTTCCCTTTTCCTTGTGATCATGTGGTCGATAGAAAGCAGGGATCACAATAAATTAGCTAGATCAGCTAGGAAACCAACCTGTAGGACTCCTAATTACATTGACTGTAATAGCCAATCACACTGTAGGAAAGGGAAGCCAGATGATCTTTTTGATGTCTGTGTACCAGTGGGCACATTTCATGTGTTGTCCCAGAGGCAGAAGCTAGATGGAAATCCCCCAAAGTGAAGGCATTCCTTTCTTAGACAGGTTTCCCCTTTGAAAGATTTCCCCTCAACTCTTGTTCTGAGGACAGTTTTGGACTTCTCACTTTCTATTTTGGTGACAATGGTCACCTGTGCAAATAGAAGGGGAAAATTTTGCCAGGAGTCTGACCCTTCCCCACTCTATTCAAGACTTAAAAAAAAAGTTTCAGCCTAGTGATACACTTTGAAGGAGAAGTATGGACAAGGTTCTTTTGGCCCTACTGCTCCTGTGAGTTACAGGAGCATAATTAGTTCTGCACTCCTGTGACCCAGATTCAGCCAACAGCAGGCTAAGGTCCACTGACAGCTGACATCACAGAGCCGATCCCGACTCTGAGAGGATCCTGACAATAATGTTGAGATCCACCCAGATGCCTGACCAACAGCTGGCTCAGCCTCTCAGTGTGCCACTGAGAGCCTGAGCCAGTCGTTCACACCCCTCCACATTCTGGCGCACCAGTGAGCACTGGAGGGGCAGAGCACATAGTGGTGAGTGACAGTCAACACTCTCGGCTCAGAGCAGACCCAAAAACTGAGCGATCAGTGGTCTTTGGTCACTCAGTTCTTGGTGTAGAGCCAGCAGGGGACAGCTGCAACATCAGACTGATGCTGCAGCCATCTAGGTGAGTGAGTATGTTTTTGTTAATATGGAATCCCGCACTCCTCTTTAAGTGATTTAGTTTCAATTATATTTGCTTATAATAATTTAAATAATTTAAACATGGGTCATAGCTTATTAAAATGACAGCCTCCGGCAGGACTCACTCTATTTTGTGCATGCAGTATACTTTTACAATACTAATCTGCCTGGAGTTTGCATGTTCTCCCTGTGCCTACATAGGCTTCCTCCGGGTACTCCGGTTTCCTCCAACACTCCAAAGACATGATGGTAGGTTGATTGGATCCTGTCTAAATTAGCCCTAGGATGTGTATGTATGAATGTAAGTTAGGAACCTTAGATTGTACGCCCCTTGAGGGTTGGGGACTGATGTGAATGTACAGCTCTATATAAGTACCTGAAATAAATAAATAAAATCTGCATCCTGTTTATAAAAGACATTTTAAATGTTTATTGCATCTCAGCAAAAATGATTAGATCGTTAAAATGAGTACTATATAATATAACAAGGCAGATTGTACTTACTTTTTCACCTCTGTCCCCCTTTTCTCCCTACATAAATAGAAGCGATGACATGTAACTATGACAACAGATAAATATTGCAATGTAACAATACAATGAAAGGAATCAAGTAATTGATCAAAAGCCATAGACTACAGTTACCACACATCCAGTTTACTTCTAGCACACTGTAAATGTCAGAGTTTACCGTTGAACAAATCTCTTTTGAATGATATATAAAAAAAATGCCAACCCATTCCTGATAATTAACCAACAGAACTCAGACAAAGACAGGACATGTTTTATTGCTGTAGCTGGGCAACCATGGGAAAGCAGACCTCCTTGTCACTATAGTACATATAATTTCAACCCCAATACGTGATACAGTGCCTTGAAAAAGTATTCACATCCCTTGAAATTTTCCACATTTTGTCATATTACAACCAAAAAAGTAAATGTATTTTAGGGATTTTATCTGATAGACCAACACAAAGTGGCACATAATTGTGAAGTGGAAGGAAAATGGTAAATGGTTTTCAAAATTTTTTTACAAATAAATATGTGAAAAGTAAGGCGTGCATTTGTATTCAGCCCCCCTGAGTCAATACTTTGTAGAATCACCTTTCACTGCAATTACAGCTGCAAGTCCTCTTGGGGATGCCTCTACCAGCTTTGCACATCTAGAAAGTGAAATTTTTGCCCATTCTTCTTTGCGAAATAGCTCAAGCTCTGTCAGATTGTCAGATTGGATGAGAGTGTCTGTGAACAGCAATTTTCAAGTCTTTCCACAGATTCTCAATTAAATTTAGGTCTGGACTTTGACTGGGCCATTCTAACACATGAATATGCTTTGATCTAAAACCATTCCATTGTAGCTCTGGCTGTATGTTTAGGGTCATTGTCCTGCTGGAAGGTGAACCTCTGCCCCAGTATCAAGTCTTTTGCAGACTCTAACAGGATTTCTTCTAAGATTTCCCTGTATTTGGATCCATCCAGCTTCCCATAAACTCTGACCAGCTTCCCTGAAGAAAAGCATCCCTACAACATGATGATGTTGCCACCACCATGTTTCACAGTGGGGATGGTGTGTTCAGAATGATGTGCAGTGTTAGTTTTCCACCACACATAGTGTTTTGCTTTTAGGCTAAAAAGTTCATTTTTGGTCTCATCTGACCAAAGCACCTTCTTGCACGTTTGCTGTATCCCCCACATGGCTTCTTGCAAACTGCAAATGGGACTTCTTATGACTTTCTTTCAACAATGGCTTTCTTCTTGCCACTCTTCCATAAAGGCCAGATTTGTGGAGTGCACAACTAATAGTTGTCCTGTGGACAGATTCTCCCACCTGAGCTGTGGATCTCTGCAGCTCCTCTAGAGTTACCATGGGCAGCTGCAAGAGCTGCTTCTCTCATTAATGCTCTCCTTGCCTGGCCTGTCAGTTTAGGTGGACGGCCATGTCTTGGTAGGTTTGGAATTGCGCTATACTCTTTCCATTTTCGGATGATGGATTGAACAATGCTCCATGAGATGTTTAACGCTTGGGATTTTTTTTATAACCTAACCCTGCTTTGAGGTTATACATAACGTTATCCCTGACCTGTCTGGTGTGTTCCTTGTCCTTCATGATGCTGCTTGTTCACCAATGTTCTCTAACAAACCTCTGAGTGCTTTGCAGAACAGCTGTATTTATACTGAGAATAAATTACACACAGGTGGACTCTATATTCTAATTAGGTGACTTCTGACGGTAATTCATTCCACTTGATTTTAATTAGGGGTATTGAAGTAAAGGGGGCTGAATACAAATGCACGCCTTACTTTTCACATATTTATTTGTAAAAAATTTTGAAAACCATTTATCATTTTCCTTCCACTTCACAATTATGTGCCACTTTGTTTTGGTCTATCACATAAAATCCCAATACATTTATGTTTTTGGTTGTAACATGACAAAATGTGGAAAATTTTAAGGGATGTGAATACTTTTTCAAGGCACTGTAATGGCCTACCACCTGCCTACATGCTGATTGACAGGATATTATTTTCTACGGTGAGATGAGGATGCATATGTGGCAATGAAGAGGAAGTTGTTTTCCCTGCTGCTACAATAGAGACCAAGTTGTTGCCAGGCCCTGACAGTGAAGAGTCACATCTGTATGACTTACCATACTCATTACAATCTGACCATACAATTTTCCACACAATCAACTTTATATCTACTAAAGCTCTGTGATACAAAGGCCTCCCTGAACAATCGATTTATATCAAATCAGGTAGGCGCTTGCACTACATACTTCTTGGTTGATCTAAAGGAGATTCTACAATAAGATTGTAACATCTTATTGTTAAAATTTCACAGCACCCTGCCTCAGTACTCCTCTCAAGTTCTCAGCCATGATGTAATCAGTGGGTGAGCTCTTGGGAGGATTTATACAAGTATAAAAATTCCTTGTTGGGTGGGTGTCAGTTGGCAGGGGTGGACATTCCAAAGCAGGCTGTATTTGTATGAAGACTGCCCTAGATAATGCCCACATGTGATGCTAAGAATCTCACAGTGTGCAATGAGATTAGAGTAAGCAAGTTCGGTACAGGAAAGGGGCCTGTATAACTGTGCTAAGATAAGTGCACAATTAGATATAGGAAGTAGGGTGATAATATGTTCATATGTCAATGTACGGTGGTATACAGATGATTGTAGTGTCATCTAAGGCCGGAATTACCACCTAGCTGCTAACATGTTGCTTATTATGTCACTGGGAAAAGGGGGGAGGAGGTGGAAAAAATTAAAGAATAATCAGATGTCTGCACCTGAAAGTCAAAAAAGGAGGGAATAGGAATTCAATCACAATGTCTAGGAACAACACTCATTTTCTTATGTTAGCAGAAATATGTGTAATCTTTCATAAGATCCAGAAAATTGGCTTTGTGAATTAATTTTATCTGATAGTACGAGCTGGGAACTACAGGCAGATGCAAAATGCTATGTTCTGGCCTTCTTGAATCAACCAAGGACTGACTAAACGATTACATGGACCTAGTTTATGGCAGTCAGGTTGTGTTTGGTCTTGCTGCAATTAGGATGATGTGCTGGCTTTGGAAATTCTAACTCCAACCCAGTAATTAGAACCGGTTAGTCCATATAGTCTACTGCCAACTTCAGAGGCAAGAACTTTCCTCACACCTGACATGGTACCATCTCTACAGCCGACTGACCAAGGTGGAACAGTTTTATAAGCAGCATGCAAATACACATTGTAATTCATCTGCAGTGAGTTCTAAAATTCAAAGTATGCCCCCATCAACAAGATAAACGGATACTGCCCAAACAATAAAGGTTTTGTTTTTGTTTCTTTTTTTATTCAGATTTTATTTATGAACTTTTTTTTTCTATTTTACACACAAAAATACAAAAAAAAAAAAAAAATAACAACACAACAGCAAGAAAAAAAAAAGAAGGGGAAAAAAAGAACAAGGGGAAGAGGAGTGCAATCAACATATGAGTGGATCAATAAATAATTCCCATCAAAGATTAGGATACGTGCACTCTATCCACTGGGACCATATTGCTTCAAACTTCCATATAGAGTTCCTAGAACTTTAGACATGCATTTAATTGAGAACGTATTTATTGAACTCTGTTATCCATTCAGAAAGAGAAGGGGGCCAAGGGGAAGTCCACTTGAGTATAATTTGTCTGTGGGCTGAAAATAATGATTTCAAGACATTGAGCCATAGGTTCTGATCAGTTGGAGATAGATCATCGTGACCAAGTAAAGAGGATCAACCAGCAAGTTAACCCCTAAAAGCCCATTAAGAGCCCCTACCACCTAATGCTCAATACCTTCTGAATTTGGGACAACATCATAGAAGATGAATAAGTGACCCAGATAAGTGCCCACATCTAGCATACCAAAGGTAATCTTTCTGACCACTTTTACATAAAAATTCAGGAGTACAGTAATCTTTACTCCTTTTTTTCTCCCATTTATTTTAAATAGCAAATAGCCAATATTCCTGTATGTCATTTTTTTTCTTGACGTTTGTACTTATTATTTTTGTATATATATATATATATATATATATATATATATATATATATATGCACTGCCCACCTAAGGATATAAATATATCTTTTAAAAGTTGGCCTTCTATGTAATAAACAAATAACTGACAAGTCCTGAAGACACTATTGTATTTTATTACCATGTGCCTGTATGCTCGGTTGCTCGTTTGCAGCTAATCTATTTGAGATTTATGTTTTTTTGTAATCACAGTGGTTGACTGACAGAGAACAAGGTGGCAAATCTGATTGCATTCAGATTAGTGTCATAGGCAGGGACAGACTGACAGATCAAATTGCCGTCAGCTGTGATCTGTGTTTTTGTGTATGTGGTATGGTTTCTTAGCACAACAGTCAACTGACAAACTGCAGGTAGTGGCAGTCTACCCCATGAATCATGTGTCTGGTTTTGTGTGTAGGAAATGGAAAAAGTGATCGTGCAAGGCTTCTAGCTCACAAGGTAACTTGAGATAGTTTTGGATAGAGTGGAGATGTATTAGAACATCTGTCAGTTTTTATTGCTGTCTATTCCCCCATTAGGGAGATTCACCCCCTCTATCTGTCCTGTTTACTGTTATCATCAAAATTGAATGTAAAAGAAAATCCAAAAAGTTGATTTGACTTCAGAACACTAATAGAAGGGAAATCTTCCAATGGGGATACTAGTTCTGGTGATCCTGGTGCCACACTGGGTTTCCCTCACTTTGGAGGGATGCACTCTTGCGTCCTATTTTGGCTATTGGACAGGAAGTGAAGAGAAATCTCCCTAGTGGGCCCTTAATATAATCAGCTCAAAACATGTAATCTGTTTATTAAAGTGCTATGTATTTACCGTCTTCCTTCCATTGTGCTGCCTAGGTACGCATTCATTGTTAATTGAGTCACCTATTGTCTGTTGGCAAGTCCTCTTGGAGGCTCTTGCATGATGGGATTAGTCTGATGTAAGCTTTGCCTCATTATCTATTCAGTGTGGGATGTTTATCCTAATGTGTAATATTTGTTTTATTGTTCATGTGATGACTGACCCTATTTGTGACGTGTATAAAAACCTGTATTTCTGTTTAATAAAGAGCTCCAGTTTGGCACCTAAGCTAGTCTTGTCTAGTCTTGGGTGCAGTGCCTGGCAAAAAAAAAAGTTTTGCCTTTAGTTACACTTTAAGCATGTGGAATCACTTAGCTGTGACACCACTGACAGGCAGGCTGTGATGATTTTAGTGTGTGTATGTGTTCTGTTTTCAATTACTACTTATGTCTGCATTGGTGGGTTAGATTTGGGCTCTTAGAAAAATCGGCCAGCATGCTTGTCAATTTCCAAGGACACATGGCAGATGGCTTTAGTAATACAAAGTTTGAAGTATCAATATTCATCATTGGATAAGCAGCAGAATATGCTTGAATGATATCATGTAAATATCTGATGGGATATTATTATAGGAGATAAAATAAATGTAAACTCACATCTTATGGTGTATAACACCTTTAAACAATTTGGTTTAATGTTTAAATATAAATAAATATTATTTTTATTGATAAAAAAGCTGTATATGTCTCTATCACATCATATCAAATGTTACCCTAAGTCCTCATGCACACTGGACATTTTTACAGCTGCTGCCAACATGTTATCCTATGTGTGGAAAATATGTAGTGAGCGCAAAAAGAAGAAAATCCACAAGCAGCTCGCACAGAAGGACTAACCCACTTAATCCACAAAAAACATAAAAAAGGGGGGAGTGCAGTGCTAATGTGTATATCATAAGTAATAAAGACAACTAGTAAAACACTAGAATGATTATATCATGAAATTACATGCTTGATAAGAATCATTATATAAGTACATTTATAAATAGCACAAAGCCCAAAAAAATGTATAGTGTCCAAAAGTGTTGAATAATAATAATTAGAATGGAGTGACATCTAGTGAAAAGTGAATCCGTGACAATTCTTCCTCCTAATGCACTCACCAGAAGCAAAGGGTAAATGAGCTTTCATACAGCAAATCCTCCAAAAGGTATAACCCCTCCACGGCCGGAATAGATGTATATCAGATACAGCTGGGCTCTATGTAGAAATCCCTCTAGATAAAAATATGACTTCTCTAAGGCATAACTTGGTCACTGGTCCAATAAGGCTGAATCCTCGTCCAAAAATCACACTCTAAAAGCAGGCATAGTACTGGACCAAACAAGGGAATTTTGGCGCTGTGATGGAGCAACCACGTATGCACCCGGATTCGCCTTCCTCAGTTACACGTCCATTTTTGTTTTTTGCTATGTATATATGCATTTATAATATGATTCTTATCACGCATGTCATTTCATGATATAATCAATCTTGTGTTTTACTAGTTGTCTTTATTACTTACGATATACACATTAGCGCTGCACCCACTTTTTTTACCTTTTTTGTTATCTTATGTGTTCATGCATACATAGGCTTTAATCAGCGTTTTTTGCAGGGGCGTTTTTTTTTGGGGTTGAAAACCCCCCCAGAACGAGTGGGTTTCTATAGGAGTTTTTTTTAGCTTTAACGCTGGTAAACGTGGCAAACTGGTGTTTTTGGGCTTTTTTTAAGCAAAATTTTTTTTGTGTAAAAAAGCACTAAAAAAAAGAAAACGTGGAAAAACGCGGCTAAACGCTAATGCAAAACTCTTAAAAATGCAAAAAAACTAGCGTTTTAACGTGATTTTATACATCTAACGCTACCTGCAGTTTTAAAGTTCCCAATGTATGTCCCATTGTTTGTGGTTCGAATTTGGATATGTCACATTTATTGGAATGTTGGTGCATTTGATCTCTAATAAAATTCCCTTAATCCATTATTAGTGATCTAAGAATAAATTTTTACATTTTACATGCTTGCTATTTTTACCTATGGCTAAAAACACAGCTTTTTCATAAACTCACTTTCAGTGAAAGTATTGACATAGCTCTGTCTGTAGACTTGCATTAAGGCTAGGTTCACACCTATACAGTTTGCGTTTGATCTGTTTCTGCAGTGCTTTTTGCTGTGCATTTTTGATGCATTGTGTGTTTTGTTTTTTTTGGCCAACTTGTTGCTGGGCAGATTAAAAAAGTATGTAAAACGCAGCACTTGCATTTTATATGCGGTTCCATTGAAGTCTATTGGACTAAGAATGCAAACTGCTGCGGGAAAAGAAGTCCCTGGCCCTTTCCAAAAAAATGCATAGATATAAATATAGTCCATAGGAAATCTGATAAATGGCATGCACTGTGTTCCTGCAAAACGCAAAATGCATAAAAAAAACACACAGGTGTGAACCTGGCCTTAGATAAACGAGCAATTCTTATGATGTTGTGCCAACATGTAACACAGCTTAGACAGACAATAATAAAATATGGAAGCCTACATGTATATTAATAACAAAATGCTAAGAGGAGCAAGTGTTTCAAAACATTTAATTTACATTTTTATTCACATTAAACATTAAAGCTTAAAATGATCAAACTCATAAAAAATATAATAGCCTCCGCGTACATTACATGGCATAGGTATAAATAGGGCTTTACACACCTTCCTAAGACATATCTTTACATTTGCAGCTATTATTTTTCTTCACGCTATAGTATATTACAGCAGATGAATAAGAGCTGCTAATGAAATAATCAATACATTTGCAGGTGTGCCTTTTACTTACTAGTCTGCCATTAGTTCCTGGATATCCTGGTTTTCCTGGTGTTCCATCACGTCCCTGGTGAAATATTTCCATGGTTAAAAGCATATAGGATCACATTTTTCAAGGTTTTCTCTAAGCAATATAGATGTAAGGTCTAAAGGAAGAGGAAATTAAGCAGACAATATAAGATACACTACCTGGTTTTAGAAGAACTATTGCTAACATTATTTCAATTTTACTCCCAGGGGACAACCTGCATATAGCACTTGGTCCTGTTCTGATTGGTGACCCCATTGTCTTAAAAACGCACCTGCATATGCTGGCTGTAGCTCCACCCCACTTTTGAAGATCAAATTATGGGCTTACCTAAACTGAGTAATCTGTCACTATTATAAATGTACAATCAGCATTGTTTTTTCATTCTTAATGGTGCAGCTCTGTGTAATGAAGCTGCAGATACATTACACAGAGACGCAGCTCTGAGTGACGTTTACTGTTATGAGTGAACAAGCATCGCTGTTTGTTAATAGTGAAATGACAGTTCATGCAGCTCTACGGCTCTGTGTGTCATTGGAATGCACAATGCTGATCTTTCATAAAAAAAAAATTAAACAGCACTCAGCACTGCGGCACCGTGTGATCTATCAGCTGGGTTGTGTATGTACTGAAAGACACACACTGCCATGGCTGTTTCTTAACCACTTGCCCTCCAGAGGATTCCACCCCACCTCCTGACCAGGCCATTTTGTGCAATACGGCACTGCGTTATTTTAACTGACAATTGCACGGTCATGCAATGCTATACATAAATTTTCCCCACAAATAGAGCTTGCTTTCAGTGGTATTTGATCACCTCTGCGGTTTTTATTTTTTGTGCTATAAACAAAAAAAGACCGACATTTTTGAAAAAAAATAAACAATATTTTTGACTTTTTGCTATAAAACATATCCAATAGAAAAATTAAAAAAAAATCTAATTTTGTCACAAATTTAGACCAAAATATATTCTGGTACATGTCTTTACTTAAAGAAAAAACTCAATATGTGTAAATTAATTGGTTTACGTGAAAGTTATAGCGTCTGCAAATGGCGGTATATTTACTGGAATTTTTTTTTTTAAATACTAGTAATGGCAAGGATCAACAAATTATAACAGGACTGCGGCAAGCATTCTGGCACTGGGTGGAAACTAACTGCCACTGACATCCCCAGTGACACTAATACAGTGGTCAGTGCTGACACTGTACTAGTGACACTGGGCATCTAGGGGTTAACATCTGGGGAGATCAAATGGGTTAACTGTGTGCTGTGCTGTGTTTTTTATTATGTGCTATGTGTGTTTTACTTGGGAGACACGCTGACAAGACTCTCCTTGCTGGCAGGAAAGAGACCTGTGTTGTTTACACACAGGTCTCTCCCCTGTCCGCTTTCGCAGATGATCGCTAGGTGCAGTGGGGAATCTCCGGCCAGGACCTGGTGATTGACATCCCTAGCCGCCAATGGCATTGTTGGCCTGGGGAGGGGAGGGAAGGGAACCTATACGAACAGGCTGCCTAAAAACGCAATATGCATTGGGTTCCCTGGGGAGTTAAATAACATTTTTTTAGAATGTATAATAGTTCTTACTTAATCACTGTTTATCTCACTAAAAGGAAAGATAGAGAGGCAAGTAGGTTGGAAAAGGAACAATTCTGTTCTGAAAGTATCATATGTAGTGACTGAGCAGACAGAATGAATTGTGCTACAAACCTATTTAGCTTTTAGTGCTCAGATTGTAAAAATATGCTAGTTTTTCTATAAATGGCATGAAGAAGTGCATTACAAAAAGTGCACAGCAAAGCCTATAATTTTATCAACCATTGTTGATTTTGTTACAACATTCATTGTAACTTATCAGCTCAGTGATGAACACCCCCAATGTGATGAGATACATATGTGTGCTCTCTGGTACTCTGAAGTCATGTGTCTGAAAAGTAATATGCTGAAGGTATCTAAAATATGTTGTCAAACAAGAAAATTCAAATGAGCATCATATATGTTTATGTATTACAGTGTCATTCTGGTTTTGTTTATTAAAATATTTATACATGTCTCCACCACAGAAAATTTATCATGTGTTGATGAACCAATACAGAACTAGACCTCAGCAAGAAACATTTTTGGTATAAAAAATGATCATTTATGTCATTAGAGGACAATGGTTAAAAAACATAAAAATACACTGCAGTGCTTCCTCAAAATAAACGTGAACCCCAATGTCACAAAAAGAATTAATATAAATTCTGTGATGAACATTAATCCATATGAGTGATACGTGTATCAATGGAAACATCAACATCTCTAAATAGTGATTTCTTCAACTTGAATAAATCTCAAAACAATTTGTATCTTCATATATCTATATGCTCCACCATAGATCACCAGATCTGACCTCATGTTAAGTTCGGTCAAAAAAACGCATGTGTCCCTTGAATTGGACATAAACTGGCAGGTATATCCCGGGTTTAGACTCTTCCTCCAGAGATCAACACTCCCTTAACCTCTCCTCCTCCACTCAGTTTATATGTTAAAAAGATAGGAAACACAATAATGCTTTATCCTTAAAAACATTCAGTTTTATTAAAACATATAGGTGGCCACTCACACTTTAACCCCTTTGCACCGGTGCTTTAAGAGTTTCAGAAGGCGGGAGCGAGGTTTTAGAATCATGTGACCGCCATAATTGCTGTCACAGCGTTAACATGATCAGAAAAGGTCCCGATCGCAAGGGGAGATCGGGACCTTTCTGTGAGTCACGGTGATGGGAGCACGTATGGAGCGCTCTTTCAGCATATATGTATTTTCAAATGGTACGCAAATATGCGGCTGCTCGGCGTCAAGGCCCATACGCCGAGAGGCCCCACATTTGTATGCACTCAGTGTCTAGGAGTTTAAAGGTGCTTCATCACACCAGATATATAGCACTTTTTAAAAATGGAACAGTGCTGTGAAACAGGAATACAGAAAAAAAAAAAAAAAAAAAAAATATATATATATATATATATATATATGGCGCGATGCAGCACCTTTAAAGTGTGAGTGGCCACTTATGTGTTTTAATAAAATGTAATGTTTTTAAGGATAAAGCACTATTGTGTTTCCTATCTTTTTAACATATACACTGAGTGGAGGAGGAGAGATTAAGGGAATGTTGATCTCTGGAGGAAGAGTCTAAACCCGGGATATACCTGCCAGTTCATGTCCAATTCAAGGGACGCATGCGTTTTTTGACCGAACTTAACATGAGGTCAAATACTCCAGGTGAGTGCACATCTCATGATCTATGGTGGAGGATTTAGAAGATATGAAGATATGAATTGTTTTGAGATTTATTCAAGTTGAAGAAATCACTATTTAGAGACTTTGATGTTTCAATTGATGGACGTTTCACTCGTATGGATTAATGTTCATCACAGAATTTATATTAGTTCTTTTTGTGATATTTGGGTTCACATTTATTTTGAGGAAGTGCTGCACTGTATTTTTATGTTTTTCATTGATGCACATGTTATGAGCATGTGGTTAGTGTGAGCTGCATTTGTTAGTATTTAGTATTGGTATAGCATATTTATTGCTCACGAGGTTCTTTGATTGTAATAGAGGACAATGGTTGTTGCTCTGCTAACAAAGTTGCATAGGGAACACTCATTAATTAAAGAAATTTGCAGAGTAAAATAGGTCCAGCTAGGCTACATAATTATCTGTATGGCAAAGTAGCAGGTCTGTTAGCCAGAGATATCATAAACGCTAATTTGGTCTACACTGAAGATACTGTATACAGTGAAGGAAATAAGTATTTGATCCCTGCTGATTTTGAATATTTGCCCACTCACACAGAAATGATCAGTCTAAAAATTGAATGATAGGTGTATTGTAACACTGAGAGACAGAATAGCAACAAAAAATTCAATAGAAATGCATGTCTAACAAATTAAGCGCTGATTTGCATGTTCATGAAGGAAATGTGTATTTGATCCCCTATCATTCAGCAGGATTTCTGGCTACCAGGTGTCTTTCATACAGGTAACAAGATGAGATTAGAAGCAGTCTCTTAAAGGGAGTGCTGCTAATCTCATTTTGTTACCTGTATAAAAGACACCTGTCCAGAGGAGCAATCAAACAATCAGATTCCAAACTCTCCACCATGGCAAAGACCAAAGAGCTTTCCAGGGATGTCAGGGAAAAGATTGTAGACCTACACAAGGCGGGAATTGATTACTAAACTATCGCCAAGCAGCTTGGTGAGAAGGTGACAACAGTTGATGCAATCATTCGCAAAGAAACACAAAACAACTGTCAGTCTCCTTAGGATTGTTGCACCATGCAAGATCTCACCTTGTGGAGTGTCAATGATCATGAGAACAGTGAGGAATCATCCCAGGACTACACGTGAGGATCTTGTCAGTGATCTCCTGGCAGCTGGAATCACAGTCACCAAAAAAAAATTGGTAACATACTACGCTGACAATTATTGAAATCCTGCAGTGCACGCAAGGTCCCTCTGCTCATGAAAGCACATGTCCAGGCCCATCTGAAGTTTGCCACTGAACATCTGAATGATGCAGAGGAGGACTGGTTGAAAGTGTTGTGGTCAGATGAGACCAAAATCGACCTCTTTGGCATCAACTCAACTTGCCATGTTTGGAGGAGGAGAAATGCTGCTATGACCCCAAGAACACCATCCCAACTGTCAAACATGGTGGTGGAAACATTCTGTTTTGGAGGTGTTTTTTCTGCTAAGGGGACAGGACAACTGCACCGCAACAAAGGGGCGATGGACAGGGCAATGTACCGTCAAATCTTGAGTGAGAACCTTCTTCCCTCAGCCAGGGCATTAAAATGGGTCATGGATGGGTGTTCCCACATGACAATGACCCAAAACACACGGCCAAGGCAACAAAGGAGTGGCTCAAGAAGAAGCACATTAAGGTCCTGGAGTGGCCTTAATCCGATTGAAAATCTGTGGAGGGAGCTGAAAGTTCGAATTGCTAAACGTCAGCCACCAAACCTTGGAGAGGATCTACCAAGAGGAGTGG